AAATTATGGTCAATCAAGTAAATATGAATATAAATATAAATATAAATATAAATATATGTAGAGATTAGATCTTATTCTAGTTTTATGATTAGCTAAATTTAAAAGGGATACTAAGACGTTAATCACTTATTGTCTATAAATAGGGGGTCATGATCTTTGGGTCACACATATTTGTGCCTTCATGAATTTAAGTATGACTTCAATTCATTCTTATCATATTTTATGATTCTTTATTTGTCTTTATACTAAATTCTTTAGATTCAATAAGTGGTATTAGAGCTAGGTTGTGTTAAATTTTTGGAGAATGATATGTTATGTTGTTCCTGTTTTTTGTTTAACTTGGTATCATTTTTTTACTCCTTATCTTGAGAATAGATTCAGGCGTCCATTGTGATCGAAAGTTTTTAACCTTACCATGGACGGACTAGTGGGCTGTACAGGCCGTGTAGATAGATTTGTCGACTGTCAACTCTTCTTCTTTCCCTGGAGAGGATGAGTGCTGATTTCCTCACACCTCTCTTCCTCTATTTTCCCGAATGAAGATTTTCATTTAGAAATCAAGGGCTATAGGAGAGGCCTAGCCATTTCTCTTTTCCCTTTATGTCGTCAGACAGAAGGCTAGAGAGCGGTGGATGACGTTTCTAGATATCTAAATGCTAGAGGGCTCCAGAAGGTGAAGAGGAGGCACAAGATGATGACGGAGGGTTCCAAAAGTTGTGTCATAGGTAGAGGGATGCAGTGGCTTCTGTACACCTCTTTCCATTATGTTCCTCCTCTTTTTTAGGTTATTGTTAAAGACTGATCATTATTTGAATTTGATTGAGACATATTGTACCATCTTTTAGATAGAACTTGATTTTTATTTCTAATTTAGATAAATTTAGTTATTTATCTATTTAGAAATAAAAATTTATTCTATTTGATAATTTAAATTGTATTAGTACTAAAACATTATCTGGTCATTATAACATATATTTATTTGATATAATACTCTCTTCTAATGAAATCTTACATATAAGTTCAAAGAGTATAAAAACAAAATTAATTAATGAGAATTTAGTTCATTATGCCACAATAGATTAAGTCATATTTTTAAAAAGAGAACTAGTCGACTTATGTCTAGTGAAATTCTTGACCCACTTGATTATAAGAATTTTGATATGTGTCAAATGTATCAGGAGAAAAGAATAAAGATAAAGAAAATATGTGACAATCAAGTTTTAGGGGTCTTAAAATTAATACATATGAATATTTGTGAATCATTTCATATAATCTCTTAGAATGATAAATAACATTTTATTATATTCATAAATGATTATTTTTTATTTAAATACTTATATCTCATTTATGAGAAGTTTTAATCAGTAAATGTGTTCAAGAAATATAAGACCAAAGTGGAGAATCAACTCACAAATAGACTAAAGTTATCATATCAGATTATGGTGGTAAATACTATGATAAATATGATGAATCAGGTGAATAATATCAATGCCCTTTCATTAAATTCTAAGAGGAGTGTAACATCATCCCATGATAAACTATTGTAGGATCTATTAACATTAAGTGGTGTTGTTGAATGATGACACATAACATTAAAAGATTTAGTAAAAAATACAATTGGTCAATCTACCATATCAAACATCCTCTAAGGAGAAGTATTAAATATTTCAACTTATTTGCTTAATCAGGTTCGAATTAAGGCAACTATCAAGACTCTTTATAAGCTCTAGATATGCAACAAGACTAATTGAAAGTATTTACATATTTTATATTATCTAGAAGAAGTAAAACCTTACAAACTTAATGAAAATAAAACTTAATTCCAAAATAGTTAGTTATTATTTTCTTGGATATCTTGAAAGGTATAATAAAAGGTCTAAGTTTTATATTCCTACTACTAAGGTTATTTTTTAGATGAAAAATACTAATTTCTTAGAGGATATTGAGTTTATAAGAGAATATAAAATTAAATATATTAATTTTAAAGAGACATATGTAAATATTATTTATATTACTATTGACAATAATATAGATACCATCACCTTGACTAACACTGATCAAGAAGCTACTTAAGATTAAATAATATCTTCTCACTTTAGAAAATAAACTCAGCATACTCAAAAAAGAATTAGCGTCATTAAGAAGATCCACTAAAGAAAAGAAGAATATAATTTCAGATGATTACATCATATTTCTTTTAAAAGATGAGGTTGGCATCGGACTGATGGAAGATGATTCTATTAACTTTTATTAAGTCATACAAAGTTTTAATTCTCATAAGTGAATAAAAATCATAAAAAAATAGATTAAATTTATGAAAGATAATGATGTTTGAGATCTTGTCTCATTATCTCAAAGTACAAAGCCCATTGATTATAAATAAATATTTCAATCAAGAAAAATTCGAAAGGTAATATAGAAATATATAAAGCTTGTGTTGTTGCTAAAGGATTCACTCAAAGACAAGGTATTGATTATATAGAAACTTTCTCTCTGATTTCATCAAAACACTCTTTTAAAATAATAATGTCACTAATATTGAATTATATCAGATAGATGTAAATACTATATTTTTCAATGGTGACATTGATGAAATAATATATATAGTACAATTAAAAAATTGTCTCAAGTACCCAAATAAAATGATATGTAAATGAAAGTTCATCTATGGATTAAATCAAGTTTCCCTTCAATAGTATCACAAATTTCATCAAGTTATCATCTCATTTAGTTTGAGATCAATATGGGTGATAAATATATATATATCCTAAGTTTAGTGAGTGTAAACATATATTTCAAGTTTTATATGTCGATGACATATTACTTGTCAGTAATAATATAAGCTTTTTATGTGACATTAAAAAGTTTTTGTCAATTTTTTTTGAGATTAAAGATCTCAGTAAAGCATCTTTTACATTGAGCATAGAAATATACCAAGATCACCCTCAAAATATCATGAGATTGTCACAAAAGTACAATATTGAAAAAGTCATTGAGAGATTTGATATATAAGAAGGTAAACCATATGATATCTCTATTGTTAGAAGAGATAAGTTTAGTCTCAATTAGTGTCCTAAGATTGATTATTAAGTTAAAAAAATACAAAATATTCTTTATATATTAGTCATTAGAACTTTATATATATTCAAGTATGTATGCATCTAGATATTATGTACATAATTAGAGTATTAAAAAGATATTTAAGTAATCTTAGTGTGGATCATTTGAAAGCAATCAAAAAAATTATATGGTACTTCCAAAAGACAAAAAATCATATTCTCACTTATATAAAATCAAATCATTTAGAGATCATTAGGTATCTTAATGCTGATTTCACTAGATGCACTAAAAACAGAAGATTCTACAGGTTATATCTATTTGTTATTTAGAAGAGCTATATCATAGAAGAGTACTAAGTAGACACTTATAACTTCTTCTATCATGGCAACATAGTTTATAATATGTTATGAGGCATTCAATCATGGAGTTTCATTGAAGAATTTTGTTATAGAGTTACAAATTTTAGATGGAATTAAAAGACTATTAAAATTATATTATGACAACAAATCAATCATCATATGTTATGGTAATAATAAGAGTTTGAGAACTCTAAACATTTAAATATCACATTTCTAATTGTTAAGGAAAGAGTTTATAATGGCCAAATATCTATAGAAAATATTAAACAAACACCATGATAGTAGATCTACTTATTATAAGAAACTACTACCAAAGGTCTTTCAATAACATATTATTCATATGAGTATAATACCTCATGAGGATATGTAATTTCAGTAGAAGTTTATATGTTGATATTCATATATTCATAAACATATCTTTTGACTATTTTATGTATGAATAAAGTTTATGATTTTTTTCACTTTGAATGTGGTTGTTTGATCTCAATTCTAAATAAGGAAGACTAAGTTAGAAATGTATATATATAAGTTACATTTCATATAATTTATATGCTACACATTTATAGTTAATCTATGTCATTCATTACATCGACATCTGTGATTATTTTTGGGTTCAGTCACACGAAAAAAATGTGATGAATTTTTTTTTCCTATATAAATATAATGATAGATTAAATCATTATAGATGCTTTGACAATGATAGTAAAATATTGAGCCCATAAGGTCATAATATATAATATAAGCTATCATATATATTATCTTAGTTGATTGTTAAAATAATCTGAATGTGAACAATTATATATGAATTATATATTATGGGGTTATCATTGAGTTATCTCACTTAAAGTGATTCATTGGTATTTAAGTATTTAAGATTATGGCCTCTCACATAAGTATAAATATAAATATAAATAAATGTAGAGACTAATTATTATTTTAATTTTATGATAGACTAAATTAGAAAAGACACTAAAAGCTAACCACCTCTTGTCTATAAACAAAGGGTCATGGTTGTTAAGTCATATATCGAGAGTCACTCTTGTAACATCCCATCTCTATTGAGTAAAAACGACTCTTATGTGCTCATCTAAAAGGTCATCTTTGTATTTGTGTCTTCATAGATTCAAGTATGACTTCAATTCATTATTATCATATTTTATCATTCTTCATTTTTTCTTAACACTAGATCCTTCATATTTAACATGAGATCTCCAAACTATCATAGAATCACGATCACCTTGTCAAGAACTCAGTTTATGATTAAATCAACGCAAGAGTGTGTCGGGCGTGGTGTTGAATACGTTCCATGACCTAGAGCCAGCCTACTACTACCAGTTCCACCAGACAGTGTCGACAAGGGTCCTTTGTCGACCCATACTCACTGCTGTCCGAGAAGGATGTTGAAGGAGGGGAAGGGGGATCAAGATGACAAATGCTTGGCTTGGCTGGAGACGAAGGAGACGGCCTTGGTGGTGTTTGTGGGCTTATGGAGCTTCCTCGTCTTGAGCAAGGAGCAGCTCTGGGAGATGGAGCGGGGACTGGAGGCCTCGGGCCGCCCGTTCCTGTGGGCGCTGAAGGAGAATGACTTCGCCGGCGGCGGCACGGACTGGCTGCCGGAGGGGTTCCAGGAGAGGATCCGGGGCCAGAGCCTTGTCGTCGAGGGGCGGGTGCTTCAGATGGCGCTCATGAACCACCGGGCGACGGGAACCAGCCTCCGCGTCGGCGTGTGGATGTGGGACGGGTACAGGAGCAGTCTGCCGGAGGAGGCGGCCAAGGCGGTCATCAAGGGGGACGCCATCGCGCGCATTGTCTCGCGGTTCCTCCCGGCAGGCTCCGCCGACGAGGAGATGGAGGCACTACGGAAGGGGGGGAGGGGGGTGCTTCTGCCGTGGCACAGCCGTAGGAGGATGGGTACCAAATGACGAACGGCCAGAAACATGAAGGAAAGAAACCACGTGGAGGAAGCTCCGAAGGAGAAGCTGTCAAGACAAACCCCACTCGGCATCTGGACGGAAGGCCTTGAGGCCGTCGATGAGTCTGGTGAGAGATCGTTGTAGGCCGCACTGCCCTCCTTTATCGCCGCCAGTACCCTGGTGCGGTACCCGGCCGAATCCGCGACCATCACGCCAATACCTTGGATCTGATAACAAAGTCGGCGGGAGTGCTTTGGCATGACGCTGAGCACCTTCTACGATCTGGAGCCGGCCTACTGCGACGAGTTCCTGCGGAGAGAGGCCCGACGGGGTCTTCGTCGGCCCGTACTCCCTGTGGTCCAAGAAGGAGGACGCAGAGAAGGTAAGGATGGAAGACGATGAAAAGTGCGTGGTGTGGCTTGACACCCAAGAGGTGGGATCTGTTGTTTTTGTGGGCTTCGGGAGCTTCTGCTGCTTCAGCAAGGAGCAGCACTGGGAGATGGCGTGGGGCCTAGAGGCGTCGGGCCGCCCGTTCTTGTGGGCTCTGAAGGAGAAGAAATTGGCCGGCGACAGCGCGCCCTGGCTGCCGGAGGGGTTCGAGGAGAGGGTACGTGGCCGGGGGCGTGTCGTCAGGGGCTGGGTACCCCAGGTGGCGATCCTGAATCACCCGGCAACGGGGGCCTTTGTTACTTACCTGGGATGGAGCTCCCTGACGGAGGGTCTGATCGCCGGAGTACCCATGATCTCCTGGCCCTTGGCCTATGACGAGTTTATCAACGAGAGGTTGGTTCTCAACATTCTCCGCGTCGGCCTGAGGATGTGGGATGGCTACCGTAGCAGCCTGCCGGAGGAGGCGGCCGAGGCAGTGGTCAAGGCAGAAGCCATCTCCCGAGTGGTCTCGCGGTTCGCGCCCCCGGGCTTCGCTGATCAGGAGGTGGAGGCGGTGAGGAAGCGGGCAGCCGCGTGCCGCGCCACCACTCGGGCAGCGGTGAAGGAGGGTGGTACGGCCTACAACGATCTCACTCGACTCATCGACGGCCAAAAGGCCTTCAGCCCAGAAGCCGAGTGGGGGGGAGTCTGCGGCCATCCCCAAACCCAAGAGTGGTACCCGTGTAATTTGAAGGGAACATTGTGCTTTCTTTTTTCTCTGCTTAGTGGTTGGTGCCCGTAAAATGTAAAGTGGTTGCTGCTCAGTTTCTCTTCATTCTGCTTATCATGTGCCTCCTTTAATAGGTCAGGTCCTACCCTTCTACAAGCCAAAACCTCTCCTCCCGTGTCTGCAAGTTCATCCCTCGCAACGGGCGACCACGCGTCCCCGTCCTTTTCGGTGAATTCAGCGGACCGCCACTACTCGATGACACTTTCTTCTTTTGAGATGAAAACTAGGGAGAACTGACCTGTGATCATCGAGCTTCAATACGAAAATATTCTCGTTGAGCAATGCATTCAACAGTGAACAATCCATTATCAACGATAATGTCTCGCCAGCTAGAAAAATCTGCTCATGTTATGGCATGATCATCGGAATTACTGTCCACATTCATAATTAGATGTCTAATATAGTTTAAATTATGACGCAGTCGCTATCAGTGATTTGGTACAATAAATCAGGGGCTCTTATCTTAAATTTCATGAGATATCAATACCCGCAATGCATGATATATTCATACATAAAAATAGTAATATTCTAAAGTTTTGAATTTGTCTTTAAATCCTGTGAAAATGAGTCTTTCTACTAGGTAAGGGACTAAGTGAATGTTGGCCCCTAAGTGGCTTGATAAATAAAACGGGAAGTGCATTGGTTTCTATTTTTTATTTTATTAAGTATATTAATTAGTATTATATATATGAATTACATTATGACGAATAGAAAATTACAAAATAAATGAGAAACAATTTGTACACGCCAGATTTTATTGTGGTTCAACTAAATTCATTTAACCTACATACAATTCCAAAAAGCCCTCCTCATTTAACCTACATTTGATTTTATTAGGATCAAGAATCACTTAACATCACCAAGCTTTGCAAGCATGTGATTACTCCACCTAGAACCCGAACCTTAGCAATCTTAGATTTTTTTCATTCCAAGAATACCACACTTGCCTCAGCGATCAATGTGACTGCATTCATGACATACCACAAGCGTTTTAACCAGTCACCACAAATCAACCAAGCGATTAAAAAATAAGTTACCACAATATTGAACTATCATTTAGTGTACAATGGGTAGTTGAAGGACTTGAGAGCTTTTGGGTTGAGGCAAGAAGTGATTGAAATTCCAAATGACGTACACAACTGTTTTGAATTGATCTAATTTTTCCCTTGGATCTTTTAGACTTGTGAAGAGGTGACAAAGAAAAGGAATGTCCTTTGAAGTGGCCGTTGCCATCTAAAAATCATTTATTTTGTCATTACCCTAATTCATGCAAAATACCCACTTCTATGTTTAGACTAGACCTTATGGGCCCTTATAACTCTAATAATTGACTTGGGTAGGCCATAGTAGGCCACACGGAAGTTCAGAAAAGTGTAGAAAAATCCTAATTATTCAAATAATTTGAATGTTGATGCATGGTTCTTAGATTTGGATTCCTCTTCAGTTCAACTTCCCATTGGCTGGTAAATATCTATATATGTGACATATTTCATTAAATAAAAATCACATTAGGTTTAGTATGTTTTTCCCTTAGGTGAAAATATTACTTCAATAATCTTGGAAAATAAATAAAAAATCAATTATTTTAGTTACTTTTAGATAAAAATTTATTTCAATTTCACTCTTCATTCAAATTTTCTATTGTTATCTTCAAAAAACCTATTTTTCTTACCTTCAAGGAATGAGTATTTTGTGCTTTCTAGATTCAAAGCTAGATTTTCTATTTGTCATCAACTTCTATTGCGTCATGTATGCCTTTCACATCTTCACCATAGCATACTATGCCATAAAATCAAGTAATTTTTATTTCAATCCATTTATCTGTCGTAAAATTTACTTAACATAAAAGTATATTTAAAATCATAAGTTTGTGTTTATACATATTTTGATGAACATAAAATTTATTTATTTTTAAAGGCATCATGTTCTTTCTTTGTCTTTATGCTGCTGCTCATTTTCTCTTCATGCGGCGTATCATGTGCCTCCTTTAAAGGGGTCAGGCCCAACCCTTCTAGAAGCCTGCCTCTCCGAAACCCCTCCTGTGTCTGCTGGTTCATCCCTCACAATGGGTGATAACAATGTTTTTTGTTGAGATGACAACTAGGGAGAACTTACTTGTATTCGTTGAGCTTCAATATGAAAACAGTTATGTTGAGCAATGCATTAGACAGTAAACAATCCATTCTCAACAATCATATGTCTCTCCAGCTAGAAATTCTGCTCCTAAATTCATGGCATGATCATCATAATTAGTATCCACATTCGTAAATCAGTGATTTGGTGCAATAAATCATGGCTCCTAATTTTGGAATTCATGAAATATCAATACTCCCAATTTGGGCATCATGCTCTTAAATCAATTAATAAAATTATGAAATTAAAAGGAACTACATGAATAGTTATGCCAAATAGTTGCTTGTAGTGACCAGGTCCAATGTATATCCATATATAAAAAAATTAATGTTTTAAAGTTTTGAAATTGTCATAAATCTTGTGAAAACGAGTTCTCCTATTGGGTAAGGGGCTAAGTCAAAATGGAGGAATGAATTGATTTCTAATTTTTATTTGATTAAGTATATTGATTATTATTACATATATGAATTATATTAAAATTTTATATATGAATATGAAGTAAATGGGAAAATTTTTTATTATGGTTCAACTAAATTCATTTAACCCACATCTACTTCCAAAAGATCAACCTCAATTTTTCTCTTCTGATCTTGAAATTCACTTGATTTTATTAGGATCAAGAATCATTTTATATCCTCAAGCTTTGTGAGCATGTGTTTACTCCACCTAGAACCCTAACCCTAGTAATCCTAGATATTTTTATTTCTGGAATACCACATGTGCCCCAACAACCATTGTAACTATACTAATGACATATCACAAGTGCTTTAATCAGTTCACATATTGCCAAAAAAAGAAAGAACAACCAGTCAACTAAAATGAGGTTACCACAATCTTGAACTAGCATTTAGCATATAATGGGTAGTTGAAGGACTTGAGAACTGTTGGCTTGAGGTAGGAAGTGATTGAGACTCCAAATAACATACACAACTACAGCGAATTGATTTGGTTTTGTGCTTCAATCTTTGAGACTTGAGAAGAGGGGACAAAGAAGAGGAATGTCATTTGAAGTGTCCATCACCATCTAAAATTATCAATTTTCTTATTGTCCCAATTTGGGAAAAATATACACCTCTAACTTCTATGCTTCGACTAACCGCCCCTTACAAGCCCTATTTAGCCCTTAGGTGAAAATATTAGTTCAATAATGTTGTAAATGAATAAAAAATCAATTGGATAAATTTTATTTTCTTCAGTTCTTATTCAAAGTTTTCAATTGGTTACTTACCTAGTTGTATTGATGAAAGTTTAAATATTAAGATATGCACATTGGATGATGACAGATTGACATCGTATTATTTTTTATTAGCTTTATACAAATACTCTAACATGTGTGCCCCTAATGAGAATTAAGGTAGTATGAGACATTTCATACGGTTAAGATCACAAATTTAATCCTTATCCACCTTACTCATTCTGCTGAACTACCCTTCAATGTTTGTGTTCGTTATATATACACTTTAATCTTGTCCAATACCCTTCAATCTTATCTTATTAAATTCACTCTTCCAGGGAACCCACGAGCCAACTCCTGTGGGAGCTCCACCCCGACGCCGTCGTGTCAGGGACCTCGGTATCCCTCGGCTGATGCTCCAGCCGTTCGGCGCCTTCCCCGTCGTGGTGATCGGGAGGCTGATGGAGCGCAAGCCATACGGCGGCCTCGCCGACGGGGACAACGCCCCGTTTCTCGTAAAAATCGTGAAAATATCAAGGTTATGATTTAATATGAATATTACAAAACTGTTAAATATATTTTGACATGTATTTTAAGGCACAGCCAATCGGATCACGAAAGGCCCAGCTTGGTGAAAAAGGGTCATTCAGGGTCAAACTAGATAGAAGCTTTGAGACATCAGATGAGTCGGCCCATTAACCCTGTTTTCTGCCTAATTTCTCCTGCTTACTAGTCTACTAACATAATTCTGGGTCTCTATTTTTCTTAGATTTAGATTTTCTTTGATGGAGCAAATATTTCATCAACTGCATCGCGGACATATTTCTTTCTACTAACCTCATCAGGTTCTAGGGTCTATTGATTCAACCATGATGCAAATAGTTTTTCACCCTATATATCTATAGCAAGTGTTATTCCCATCACTGGTATGGCATATGACCGCTTCTTTGCCTAATAGCCCTCCTCTTTTTCCGCCGCTCATATCCTTTGTGAGATAAGTCAGCGCTGTATAGACGAAAGGTCAGCGCCTCTCTTCGGCATGGGTTAAACAGCGTCGAACGCGCAGCTGTAGGGATGAATCCAGAGGAGGATGCTCCAAGGGTGACGTCATCAGACAGATGGAACCCATACCATTCGAACAGGACAGCAGTCGCCGCCGCAAGGGTCGGTTCCCGCTCATTAATGCCAGAAAAATATACGAGGAAGCGGAATAAATGGGATAAAAAAATTCTTATTGAACGAGGGCGATTGAATGGAGAAAAAACTGCAAAAACAGCTTGGGTCGGATCCTATCCGGAATGGGGGAATCCGATCGTCAATCATCCTAGAGGATCTGGTCGGAGAGAGAGGGCAGCCGCCGGAAGAAGGTGATCGCCGGCGACGGGAGCTCGTCCCTGAACCTGGGGTGGCGGAGGTAGTAGCATCCTCCGGTGAGGACTAGCACGCGGAATGGCACGGCGTAGAAGACCACCGCGGCCAGCAGGCACGCGCCGGCGAACAGCGCCGTCGCGCGCGGGTCCCGCCAGCCCACCAGCGCCTCCACGCGCTCCCCCTGCGCGGCGACGTCCCCCAGCAACGCCTGCGCCCTCCCCGCGAGCGTCCTCAGTCGGTCGTACCTCGCCCTCACCTGCTGCTCCGGCCGTCCCGTCGGCATGCCGTCGAGCTCCTCGTCGAGCTCGTCTGCCCCCACCGCGTCAATACACGACAGCCGGGGGTCCGCCCCCGCCGCCGGCCCTGCCGGCCGGCGGCGGTACCTCCAGAGCACGTACAGGAACAGGTACACGAGGGCCGTCGGGAGGAGCAGCCCTGGGCAGAGCACCACCGCCGCCATGAGCAGGTGGACGAGCACCGTGGTCGTCGGGTGGCTCCACATCCGCACGGCGTAGAGCCACCGCGCCGCGGTGGCTGCCCAGGAGAGACACGCGACGATTCGGAGCCAGTTGGCCTTGCTCCGCCGCATGCTCCACGCCTGCGCGCCGTCGTCGAGCATGTAGTGCACCACCTCCGCGCCGAGCGGCGGCTCCGACCGCGCCAACCGTGTCGCCACCGCGCGCACGGCGGCGTGCCGAAGGAGGTCCTGCTGTGCCGGCCCCAGTGGGCGGACGTAGTGCATCCGCGGCAGCATCGGGGTGCCGTAGGCCTGGATCAGCCCCACCCAGGAGAAGCAGGTGAAGCGGATTGCTAGCTCCAGCTCCCCCATCTTCTTGGCCCCCACGCCGGGGAGGACGGCGGTCAGCGGGTAGGTCCGCACATAGACCTGGTTCGCGTCCAGCGTCGACAGCCGGATGCGTACCTTGCCGATAGGCGTGTCCTTGCCGTTACCGTTGTCGAAGACGGCAACGGTGAGGACGGTGCAGGGGTCGAACACGTCCCAGACGTACTGCTCGCTCCAGCGAGGATTGAACTGGTCGGTGATGGTGCGCGTGCGGACCCACTTCTGCCCGTACTTGAGCACCACGAAGGCGTCGGTGGAGCCGCAGGCGGCACCGGCGGCAGCGTCCTTGGGAGGAGGGGGCTTCTTTATGGGTAGGAGGTTGGCGGCGCCGCGGACGCCCACCTCCAGCATGCCCAGCGGCGGCCGCGAGGACTGCTTGGAGGCCGTCGCGCGGACGTCGCTGGTGGCGTGGGCGGCCTCGTCGAGGACGTGGTAGCCGCCCTCCAGGCAGACCTTGACGTGGATCCGGCCGGCGTAGCCGGAGGGATCGCCGGCGGCGAGGTTGAGCCATTGCGACGGCGGCTCGGAGCGGTCGTCGGAGCGGCGGTGCACACCGGAGAGGTGCACCTTGGCCTGACCCACCGGCTGCCCTGACGCCGCCTCTTCGACGGCGACCAGCAGGAAGGGCTCGAAGGGCTCCGCCGCCACGAAGAGCAGGTCCTCGTGCCAGGACGGCCCCGCGGAGCTGCCGGAGGACGACAGCATCTTCGCCGTCCTGAACACCTGCGTGCCGAGCTGCCCCTTCACGTACAGCTCCTTCCGGTGGTCGCGGAGGTCCTGGGCCTGGATGACGGTGAGACGGAGGTACCAGAGCTTGGGGGAGAGGTAGGCCTTAGAGCGGGTGTGGGCCAGGCAGCCACCAGAGTCAGACTGCCACGCCTCACGGAAGGCCTCGTCGGCCTGAGTGCCGATCCACGCCGCCAGCATCACGTCGTTGCCGGCGGCGCCGCCATGGCCGCCGCCGAGCTCGAGGCTGTACCACTGCGGGGCGAGAGGGCTGTCCGGGGGGGCGCGCTTGGGGATCTCGTGGAGGTCGAAGGAGACGACGCCGAGGCAAGCGGTAGTGGTCTCGCTGGCGGCGGCGTCATCCTTCTTCTTGTCCGCCCAGACGGAGACGTCGAGGGCGGTGGAGTTGAGGCTGCCCTTGTGGAAGGCGAACACCTGGTCCCACTCGCCTTCCGCCGCCGGCCGCGTGCGGACGCTGTGGGTTCCAATGGAGACCTTGCCGTAGAGCTGACGGTCGCCGCCGGCGGAGTGCTTCGCCCTGAGCAGGCGGACGAAGAGGTACGGAACCCGGTCGACCAGGTCGTAGGAGGTCGCAGTCACGGAGCGACCCAGCTCGCCGCCCTTGGCAGCGGCGGTGCCGCCGCCGCCGCCGCCGCCGCCACGGGATGGGTTGAACTTCGCCGGCGAGGACACAGCTAGAGTGGGATCCAGCTGGAGCTGCTTCTTCTCCTTGGGTGATGGCTCCGCCGCCACCGCTGCCGCCACCTTCTCCTCCACTTTCGCCGCCGCCTGCGGCTTCGACTGCACCTTCTCCTTATCTGCCTCCTCCGCTTTTTCCTTCTTCTCCTCCGGGTCAGAAGACGTCTTCTTCTTCTCCTCCTCACTCCGCGTCTCCTGCTTCTTCACCTCCGCCTGTTTGCCCTCCGGTTCCTTCCCGTCGTTTCCTTCCGGCTTCTTCTTCTTCTCCTCCTCCTCCGACTTCTCGTCCGCCGGACTAGCGGCGGCGCCTGCCGCCGGCGGCTCAGCCGCCTTGGCGGGCTCGTCCTCGTAGCAGATCTTGAGGCCGATCTCGCCCTTGATCTGCGAGAAGACGCTGCGCTTCTCCAGCGGGTAGTAGACCAGCGACTCAGCGCCGGCCTTGGGGAAGACGGAGCCGGAGATTCTGACCCTGCCGAGGAAGGTCCCCCGCCGCTGCCCGCCGCCGCCGCCGCCCTTGTTCTTGTCGTCGTGGTAGACGTTCACCTCCAGAGTCTCCGAGGCCATGGCGCCCGGTTCGAGGACCAGGAACTCCAGTCGCTCATCCCACTGCGGGTTGAGGTCGCGAGGCCGAGTCTTCGTCCGCCGGCGCTGCCCGTCGAAGTCCACGATGGCGTAGGAGCTGGCCGTGCCCTGCCCGTCCTTGGGCATCAGATTCCTCGCGTTGCAGACCTCCACCGTCAGTTTCCTGCTGACCGGTGCGGCCGCCGCCTCTCCGCCTCCCACCGCCATGATCGTTCTCTCCCTTCTCCTCCCACACCCTGCTTGACCCACTGGAACAAGAGTATGTGAAGCCTTCACACGAGGGGAAGATGAAGAAGAAGAGGAAGAAGAGGAAGAAGAGGAAGAAGAAGATGATTTTCCGACCCACTGGAACCAGATTCTGTGTAACAAGGGGGAGGAAGAAGAAGAAGAAGATGGCCTGCCGAGGTCGGAGCGTTTTCTTTCCGTTGGCTGCAGAGCGCCCAGAGCGGTTTAAACAATATAAGGTGAATCTTTCGCGAACGTCTGTCGGTCCACGTGGCAGAACCGACGTTGAAGATCCACCGAGTGGACCCCACAGTTAAGGGCATCCAACGTAGTTTAGGGATTGCACGTGCGTGATGGCAGAGTAATCCGCTTTGGAGCGTGGGGGCAGTCACGTGCAAGGGGCCCGACTCGGACGATGTTAAAGCCAGGCAGGACACGTGGCGCGATCGCCTTCGCTGCCCCGCTCTGACCAGGTGAACGTTACCTCGACCGTTGCTGCGGGCATTGATTGGGATTCACTCAGAGTAGGAAATGTTAGCCCCACAAATTTCAGATTTTTTGAAATTTTCAATAAAAAATTAAAAGATTAGTGACGATGATCACGCCTCTTTTTTGGCAAGTAATTGGGCGCAGAATTTTCTTAATGGGCCTTTATATGCTCCTGGGAATGGAAACTTGGCCCACTTAGTTCCTGGGTAACGGTCGAGGTGCGGGTTTGTTTCCAAAACCGTTACTGGAAAGTTTGAAAGAGTGGACCTCGGGGCTGAGTATGTGACCGTCGGGGTTGCCCCTTGGCGGCAAAGTTGCTCCATACCTTCCCGCCTCTCCTCTCTCTCTCTCTCTCTCTCTCTCTCTCTCTCTCTCTCTCTCTCTCTTCCTTTCAGGGTGCCTTGTGTCTCCATAATTTAATCAACGAGGAGGTTGACTGGCGGAACCACGTCGAGATTGAGGAGGGAAAAGGATCATCAAGACGGAAATTGAATCATATTCTTATTTTCCTTAGGATATTTTTATAGTATTTTCAATGATTTCTTCTAATCTTTTCGGATTTGCGTCGAATTCTTCCCTAACCATAGGGGGAATTCTACGCATTCAGATCTCCAGGGTAACTCTCATCGATGAGTTCTGCATTCGGGTTATTGCCCAAATGTAATGTGTCCCTAACATCAGTCACATGAATGGCGTTACTGACCATCACCCGCACATAAATTCGAGAAAGCATTATCTAGTTGCTTCATGGTAAATATCTGGTGAGGATGTATTCTATACTATTCTAAATATTAATTTCATTTGTATGTTATTTTCTTCATAGATAGTTTTGTCCTCAATTTTGAATTTCGTGTTTTACTAGAACTAATCGGCTCGCTTAAAAATGGGAAGTGAAAGCAATTGACGCAAGTTAAAAGGGGCCGATTGAGAAAACCTCTTTCCTCTGGTTAATATTTGTCATGCAACTTTTAAAATTCCCACTTATATAATCAACATATTCATGTGCATCTTGATGATTAATCTTAAGGTTTCTTTGTTTACATTCTGTTTACTACCCCAATGGTGTGGCTATTTCAATTATCTACTGGCTTCAAGATGGGTTTGCTTTCAATGTTGATTGTCTTCAAGGTTTTTCCTCCTATTTTACAATTTGGCCCGAGGGTGTGACTGCTTTGAATCGCTTGACTCACCAAAAAGTGTTTCTGTTTTTATTTATAGTTTGTGAATATGCGAGATACTTTAATTTCCCAATTAGTACGACGGTGAGACCGGTTTGCATTGTTCGACTATCCAGATGAGGCTGTTTTTAACTGCTTGATTAGTCCAACAGAGTGGCCAGTTGGAGTTGTTAGATTAGCTAGAAGGTGTGAGGCTTCTGTAACTGCATGATTAGCCCGATAGTATGGTGTTTTAATTGTTCGGTTAGCCCCAATATGTTTAGGTGTTCGATTAGCCCGACAATGTGGCTGCTTTCAATTGTTCGATTAACCCGATGGTGTGGCTGTTTTGAATTGTTTGATTAGCCCGGCAATGTGGCTGCTTTAGATTGATTGATTAGCCCGACAGTGTGGCTGCTTTCAACTGTTCGATTAGCCCGTCAGTGCGGCTGCTTTCAACTATTCGATTAGGCCGTCAGTGTTGTTGTTTTAACTATTTGATTAGCCCGAAGGTGTGACTTTTTTAACGATTCGATTAGCCCGACGGTGTGGCCGTTTTCAAATGTTCGATCAGCCCGACGGTGTGACTGTTTTCAACTGTTTGATTAGCCTAACAGTGTGGATGTTTAGAACTGTTCGATTAGACCGACAGTGAAGCTGTTTGGAAATGTTCAATTAGCTCAACAGTGTGGCTGTTCTTCAGGTGTTTGATTAGCCCGACAGTTCACCTGTTCGATTAACCCCACGGTGTGGCTGTTTTTTATTGTTCAATTCGACCCGACTGTGTGGCTGTTTTGAATATTTTTGTTTGACCAATTTCGTAGAGATTTTTAATTGTTCGATTAGCCGGAGAGTGTTGCTGATTTTATTTATTGAATTAAACTCAGTCCACCTGCTTTTACTGATTGGATTAGGCGGAGACTCTGGCTGTTTTAATGGATCAATTGGCTCAACTGTGTTTCTATTTTCAATTGATTTATTAGCCTGACGCTCTAGATTTTTTCAACTAGTCTATTAGCCCGAATGGTGTGGCTATTTCCATTTGGTGTATTACCCCGATCGCATATCTGTTTCTAATTGCTCGATTACCTTGATAGTGGCGCTGCCTTTATTTTTTGAAAGAGCTTTACATTGCGCTGCCTTTAATGGTTTGATTAGCCCGACATTGTGAACTTTCTGAAATTATTCAATTAGGCTAATGGTGCGCCAGTTTTCAAGTATATAATTGGTCTGATGGTGTAGCTGTTTTGAAATGGTCTATTAGCTCAACAGTGTTGCTGCTTTCATTTGTTCAATCAAACCGGCTGTGCCTCTTTGTTTTACTAGGAAGAAATTTGGGCTGATCTACCAGTAGTTTATGGTGTTTAATAGTTTTCTATTTCATGGTAACATCTTGCCAAGGTACAGACTGATATGTTGTTTGCTTGTCAAGAATCAAAATTATTATTTCATGCTATAAGATATTTTCGTAAAATTTTTAGACGATTAGATATCTTAATGGGATGTGTCGTATTGAGTATTTATGTTTTCACCTGAATTTATTTTTTTTTCATATAAGCAAACAAATGAACTACAATATACCTTATGGTAGATTTCCATTCTATACTCAGTGTATGTTTCGAAGTTTTATTTAATAACTGCTGCAGGCTCCTAGCCATCAATTTGTTCTTCTAACTTGGTAAATTATTCCTTGTCTTCTAGGATTTTAAATACAATTATTTATATGAATGTGAATCGATAAATATTCAGGCAACCCTTTGAAAATAGCATCCTCTCCTGACTCAGGAGGCATAAAGGTGATTTATTTGATAATTTAGGTGAGCCATAGCAATCAAAAGTTACCTCACGTCCAATTTGAGCATCATTTTTCTATTATAATTTACTCTATATGCCAGAATACATCAAATTTTTTCTCAAAAGTGCTGTCAACGGGCTATCTTGAAATTATCAACAGTAATCTGCTCTTTCCGCTCCTTCTCTCTCTCTTTCTGCAACCTCACCAAGTAGCTTTTAAGTACGATTCCGGGTGAAGCATGGAAAATGGCATTAGTAAACTCACTCTTATCTTTTCTCTCTTTTCTTCATGGCACTATCTTCTCTTTCATGCTTGCTTTCTCTTGTAAAGACCTGGTTAATATCTATACAGACCTCGATGAATTATAAGCTACGAGTCGGTCGATTAATCACTTATCACCCTTTATAGGTTCAAGCACAACTTTTATCAATCTTTCATAACAATGAAGTTAGACCTTAGGTAAGCGATTGGTATTGTTATAATTATCAGCCGACATGCTTGCGGCCAAGGTTCTTTCTTCATATGTCTTCATAGCTTGCTAATAGAATCATGCAATTCCAGTGAAGCACCTCTTCAGTAAAAGCACTTGAATGCTTACTTCCACCATTAATTCCGTTGTTCAGATCTCATCACCAGACGTTCGTAGGTTGTCTGTTGCTTCCCGACATGTTCACATATATATATATATATATATGAGTATTCACCATTTTAGTTTTTATTTTACGAGTTTCTTTGAAAATTGGTCCGCTTTCCAGAGAATGATGACCCTCAAGTTATAGTAATCGGAAAAAAAAAAAATGCTTGGAGGAGCTAAAATTATATTTATCTGGAAACGCCGATTGTGTTAGCTATTATTTTTTGCAGCATTTAAGTTAATTTGGTTCTGTTGGAAATTTTTAACATCATTGTTTGATTTAAGAAGAATTAATATTATGGGTTTGAGAAATAAGGTAGAGAGTATAGATTGCCTATTCCACAGACAAACATCGTTGTTGTTTCCAGTTTTAGCGCAGTGAAGGGATCATTAAAAGATTTATTGAGCCTCATCTGAGCTCACTGCAGTCCCCAGATCATTGCATTTTGTACAGCTTGCCTTACAAATGCTGAGATTAACTTCTTGGTTTAATCTTAGATATTATGCTGATCTTTCATGTCCAAGAAAAACAGGACAATATAGAGACAAAAATGGGTGATGTTGTTGTCCACCATTGCCACAAACTTCCATGTTTTATATGAAGATGATAAAAGGTTTTTGCGCCTTTGAGGGTCACTGGAGTTTTTCCTCTTTATTTTTTGATTCATCTGTAATATTTTGGGACATTGTTTTCCCACGTTTTAGCTTGAACCTATTCATTAAACTAAATGTTCCAAAGTAAATCTCATCAACTGGAGATTCTGGTTTCGATGTATTTTGCACGGATATCTTTTTTACCCTTCAGATTAAGAGCATTTATGGGGGAGGCCTTCTCGGTTCCTTTGATCCCGGAACTGCAGCCGGCCTCAATGGAGTTTTTGATACCAGAAATGAGGTTTGACATTGAATCATTGTCTAATCAATGGATTATTTTATAAATCTTTATTTATGCTAGAAAATAAAGGCAGACATAAAGATTGATATAAGATATAGATGGACTTTGTATTGTTTTTTTAATCTGAATCTATTGCAATGACCCTGGATGGAACCAAGTATCGGCCACTGCCCCCACAATATTCCTAAACTGTAAGGACAATGTTTTCTTCAACGCCTCCCCCACTTCCTCTTCAATATTCTAATATCCGATTTTGCACGCTGTGAGGGAAGATCCGAGACACTTCATGGCAAAGGATGTAATGACAGTAAAAAAAAATAAAAAAGAGAATTTGGTAATGAGAGAAAAAAAGAAAAGAAAAATAAAAAGATGCCTATTTTAATTGTCCAATCAGCCCGACGGTGCTGCTGTTCCTGTTGTTCAATTAACCCGATGGTGTGGCTGTTTTGAAGTATTTTGATAAGCCCAACAACGTGGCTGTTCTAAATTGTATGATTAGCCCAATTGTGTGGTTGGTTTAAAAGATTCTCAATTAACCCGACATTGTGGGTGTTTTTAATCATTTGATTAGCCCGTTGGTGTGGCTGTTTTCAGATGTTCGATTATCTCGATAATGTGGCTGTTTTACTTGTCAATTATCCCGAGAGTGTCTCTGTTTTGAATTCTTCGATTAGCCCGACGGTGTGGCTGCTTTAATTTGTTGCATTAGCTCTACAATGTGGCTGTCTTTAATTGATCAATTAGCTTGATTGTGTGGTATTTTTCTAATTTCTCATTGGCTAGACTGTGTTTCTGGTTTTATTTGTTCAATCATCCTGATTGACCTAGTTTTTTTTTCTTGTTAGCAAGAAATTTTGCCTGATTTACAAGTTGTTTATGGTGTTTAATGGTTTTCTATTTACGTTAACATCTTGCTAGGTATAGAATAACAATTCGTTTTCTTGCGCCGCCCATCCTCAAGCATCAAAAAAATTGCTGGACGATATAGGATATTTTTATGAAAGTTTAATATTATTAAATATCTTAATGGATGTGTTGTGTTTAGTATTAATGTCTTCACTTGAATTTTTTTTCATACAAGAAGACTAATGAACTGCAGTACATGTTGTGATGGTTTTATATTTTATCTAGCATAGTTTGATTGATCCTTTTTAAACCTTATTTTTAAATAGTTTCTGCAGGTTCTAGACGTCAAACTATTTTCCTAACTTGGTAAATTATGCCCTATTTTATAACTGAACACTACATCATTTAAATTGATACGTATTCAGGTAAACCCTATGAAAATTTAGTCCTCTCTATTTACATGATCTTAGTGGGGATCAAGGGGTTTAATTTTGGCAAGCCAGTTGCAAAAGTTGCTCCTTACGTTCACTTTCAATATCATTTCTCCATTATAATTTTTAGCTTGTATGCCAGGGGCTATCACAAAATTCCCAACAATAATCTGCACTTTTCCGATCCTTGCTGTGCCCTTGGGGTGTTTGCTCTCTCTTTGCAACCGCACCAGGATGCATTTGAATTTCTCGGGCAGGGGGAAGGTGAAAGGAGGAGCATGAATTCCAAGTGAAGCATGGCAATTGGCGGAGGTGAACTCCACTTCTCCCTTTCCTCTACTTTCTTCATGGGACGCTCTCTCATTGCTACTTTCTTCGTCTCTTCTAAAATTTCAAAGTAAATTTTACACCAACCTTGATGAATGATAAGCTACGAGTTGGAAGATTAGTTAAGTTAAACCACTTGAGTTCTTAGCTTCCACCAGTAATTCCGTTGATCTCATCCCACACATGATTTTTTCTGTGTATTCTCCATTGCAGCTGTTAATTTACCAAATTCTTTTGCAAATTTGTGCCTTTTCCGAAGAATCATAACCTTTAATTATAGAAGTTGAGGAAAATGCCTCGAGGGGAAAAAATTAATTTTGATGAAATGTCGATTGGTAAGGTATTATTGGTTATATGTGTTTTATGTTAATTCGTTCTGGCTGACATTTTTAACATCATTTTTTCGTTTAGGGCAAATTGATACTAGGATTATGAGAACTATGATAGACCATTGCTTGTTTATTCCACAACAGAACATCATTGCTGCCTCCAGTTTGAGCTCAGTCAAGGCCTCATTGAAGGATTGCTTGAGCCCCCTCCCGACCAGGCAGGCTTCCCCAAATCATTGCATGTCTAAGATGATCTTTGTATTTTGGTTAAGGACTGCCTCCAGGTTAATTTTTCAGTTTAACCTTGAGTATTTTGGTGATCTTTGTTGCCCATGGAAAACATGACATTATAGGGAACATAACGGGTAAGGCTGCATTCCACCATTATCATAGATTTCCATGTTTTTTTTTTATACATCATGATTTTTTTTATAGTAATTTTCTGATAAATCATGAATATTTGTGTAACATTTGCTCTCCATGTTTTAATTTTATTCTAGATACTAAGTTAAAATTTATCAGCATACAAGTCGTCTATTGGAGATTCTAGTTTCTGATGTCTTTTGCATTGATATCCTTTGCAAACCTTTAGGACAAGTGCATCCGTGGGAGGCTTTCTAGACCCCTTTGATCCCAGAGATGCAACAGCCTCATATAGTATTTAATGCCATAAATGAGGTTTGACATTTATTCTGAAATCTACTCGTAAGACTCTTCAATAAATAATAAAGGAGAATGAATGCACGAGTTATAGAAATTTCTATGTTTTGATTTCTACCTTGAATTCATCTGCCATTCAAAAAAGTTGTCCTGGGAATGTAAATGGACTGTATTCTTCGTAGGGATCTGGATGCGTTTCAGTAACTTTCATGGAACTCGTGATCACTTTCCAAAATGTGAGAGAGGATGTTAGGGACTCCTTCGCATTTGAAGCTAGCGGTTTTTTAGGCGATTGATAGGAAAAGCAATAGATAGAAAAACCTGTTTCCCTTTGGTTATAATCACTTATGCAACTTTCAATATTTCTCATTTAAATGGTTGACATTTTTATTTACATTCCGTTGACTACCCAAAGGGTATGGAAACTTTCAACTATCAGTCCTCTTCTCATGTTGGTAGTCTCCGCCGACTTTCTTTCTATTTTACAGCTGGTTTGAGGTTGTGGTTGCTTTGAATCATCTGATAAAAGTGTGTTTGTTTCTATTTATGGTATGAACATTGCAGCTGTTTTTATTATTTGTTCAATTTTCCTGACTGTGTGGGTGATTTTAATTGTTTGATTAAGCTTGATGATGTATTATTTATTTATTTATTTATTTTATGGATTAACCTTTCAGTGTAATTTCTTTTAATAATTTCATTATCCCAACCGTGTGGTTCCTTTACTTGAATTGATCGGTTATCCTGACTGTGTGGCTATTTTTAACTGTTTGATTAGCTTGATGGTGTGACTTGCCATCTGTTCTATAGCTGGCTAGATAGTCTTGCTGCTTTTATTTGTTCAATCAGCTCAACAATGGTTTTTGTTTTATTATTATTATTAGCAATAAATTTTTGACTGATTTATTATAGTAAAAAAAGGTATAAAGAAATTTTGGACTGATTTCTTATTAACAAGAAATTTTGACTGATTTATTTTCACGGATACTATTATTAATTTTTTCAGCTCGAATGGTTACCATTAGCGTCTCTTAATTATCAAAATTATTGGCAAGAAATTTTTGACTGATTAACCAGTATTTTATAATAGTTTGCTATTCACGTTAACATCTTGCTAGGGTAAACACTAATATGTCGTTTGCTTGCGTTTTTTTATCCAGAGGAATAAAAATTATTTATATAAGGTATTTTGTGAGATCTTAAGGCCATTAATTATCTTAATAAAATGTGTCATTTTTAGTATATTTTTGGATTCTTGTCTATTTTTTGACGTATTTTTAAATACTTGCTGCAGGATTCAAGCCATAAAACTGTTCTTCTGACTTGGAAATTTTGCTTTGTTTTATAAATAAAATTTAAGTACTTTGCTATTTATACTAATGCGAATCGGTAAATATTCTGGTCAACCCTTTGACAATTGTATCCTCTCTGTCTGTTTGACTTCAGCGGACATCAAGCTGCTTCATTGATCATTTCGGTGAGCCAGGCATAGAGGAAAGTCAACGTGAGAAACATCAAGCAAAAGGTGTTTCTCACGTTGACTTTCCGCATCATTGTCTGTTTTAATTTACTTTCGATGCCAACATACATAAAAAATAGTTATCTGAAGGGACGTCAACCAGCCGTTTGACAATTCCCAACAGTAATCTGCTCTTTCCGCTCATTCCGCTTTCTTCAAGATGCTCTCTCTCTCTCTCTCTCTGTGCCTGTGCAGCCTCCGAGTTCCTCTATTGAAGCATGAGAAGTGGCGGAGGTAAGCTTCTTCTCCTCCCTTTCTGTTTTCTTCGTGGAATGCTCCTCTTTCATGCTTGCTTTATCTCTCTAGAGCCGCTGCATCTGGATGTTGACCGGCGGAGGCAACGCCCGCTCCCCGAAATGTTCTCACCGTCATGGGTCTTCGCTTTCTCTCTCTAAGCTGCGCTTGGCCGGCGGTTGACCAACGGAAGTAAACTCTCTCTCTCTCTCTCTCTCTCTCTCTAAAGCTGCACCGGGCTCTTCTCTATGTTTTTCTCTCTGCTCTTTCCTCGTCGTTTATTGGGCCTCTGGGCAGTGAATCATGGCCCAATTATGAATAAATGGGCTATATTATTGAAATCTGTTGGATCCACATGAGTGATTTGTGGGCCCCATATCAGGGCCTTCTATCTGGGCCCCACCGTTCCTTCTCCACTCTTTTTTTTTTTGCAAAAAAGTCCTCGCCTTGCATGGGAAACGGATAAAGTCTTGTCCAACAGAGCCTCGGGGTGGAGGGGGGGCTCTTGGTTCTCTGCTCATTCTCACCAAGGCCACCCCATACAGAGACAACGGGCGGCGGACTGAGGAAGGTTTGCTCTGGGCGGAGGAAATGCTGGCGAACCAGAGGAGCATCCTCGCCAATGGCAGAGGAGCGCCTCTTATCGGTGCTCCTCAGACTGGGAGCGTCCTCTTGTCTCCCTATCGCCGCTGCGTCCCTGGGTGCCGGGGCGGGCGTTCGCTCCCCAGGCTCCGGGGGACGAAGAAAGGCCGGCTACCTCGAGTTGTTGCTCTGGAGAGGAGCCAGGAGTCTCTAGACGGCTCCGAGTTCGGGGTTCTGCCGCAGCCGTTCTCCGTCAGAATCCCAGTTGGCGACCGACATGTAAGCACAGAGGCGCCCCTGATAAAGGGCTAGGTGTTATAAAGCTTGTGATGGGTGTTGATTATTTATTCTATGATTTTTCAATTTATTTAGTTTTTCCGGTAGAATTCGGCGTAGTTGAGTTGGGGGGTGGGCTGCAGTCCAAGTCTGAAATATTCTTGTCCTAATTTAAATTTTATGGTGATGTGTGGCAGATTATGGTTGAGACTGGCCGTATAGGAAGACAGGCTAGTGCTTCTGTTACAGTCACTGACGGGGAAACGGTAAGTATGACTATTTTCGTTCTGGTTTTTCTTTTAAAGCGAGTAGACCGCCTGAAAGCGAGAAGCTATGTTAGATTCAGAATGTTTGGTCTGATATTGATCCAGTTCATTGATGAACGATACCCCCACGAGTGCTCTTCCTCAATCTTTCTGATGTACAACTTATTAGTTGGAGGCCACTCTTGCGGACCATCATGGTTATACTACTTGTTGGAGATATCATCTTTTGGAATCTTCCCTGTTCGTCTAGTTGATTCCACTGCATAGTTGTTACGATGCTAAGATGAGAGATTTAGGCAACAGCTTTTTGTTGACAAATGGCTGAGACGTTATCTGAGATAGATCAACATCACTTTTCTATGTATGCCTTCGGATTCCTTTGCACAATTTTCATTAACCTTTCACATCCGTTTGTAAGAGCTTTGTTTTTCTCTTATTCCGTTAACCTTTATTTTTGGGCATTACTCTAGGGTAGTATGGTTCTAATCAGAACTCTAGTATGTCATTTAAACAGATGATTTTTTTTTCTTTGAAACAGATTGTTCACACTAGTGTCTGTTTGTCTGATGTTCCGAGTGAACCTTCTGATTTCTTTCCTCTTTCTGTCCACTATCAAGAGCGACTTTCAGCTGCTGGTCGAACTAGGTATATGTTTATACTTTACGTAAAAGATCTGCGTTTTCGTTAAATGTATCTTTGAACTATCATTATTGTTTATGACCTGTTGTTTCAGTGGTGGTTTTTTCAAACGGGAAGGTAAAACAAAGGACCATGAGGTGAGAATTACAATCTTTGAGGGCTAGTCGTAGTAAAACTCATATTTTTTATTATATTATTTAGCTCCTGATCGTTCTCCATTTTTTTACCAAAAATGGGCGGAAAATTGCATATTTATAATTTGGGAAGATGTGTGGGTGGGTATGATTGATTTAGTCAGTGAAAAACATTAAATTTTGGATAAAAGTTAGTGACTTATTTTCCAGTTGAACTTGTATAGACAAATTACTGTTCTTTTAGGGGAGGAACGCTTTATGTTCAATTGAGTTGCAGGTAGAAACACTGCCTATTTTGATTAACTATGAACCTTTGCTTCATGTAGGTTCTTATATGCAGGCTAATCGATAGACCCTTGCGTCCAACAATGCCAAAGGGCTTCTACCATGAAACCCAGATATTATCATGGGTATGAATTCGTGCATGGCTGATTCCTTGATAATTGATCCTCTGGACTGGTCCTTTTACTGTATTGTGTTATAAAAAATTGCCATCAATCACAATTTACATTGGTTCTTCTAAGAATGCACTACTGTTTCTTTTTTTTGTTCCTTATGGGGGAGGGTAGTTGTTGGAGAATCAGCTGCTCAAGCTGGTCTCTGGTTCATATTCTCTTAAATGCCTTAAAATTCTCTCACTATCTTCAATGGCTAATTGATGTGCATTCGTCCATTAGAATCTATTAAAGAGCTGAAACTGCTAGAAACTAATGATATACTTCCTGCTTTTGATTATTCCTGAGGGATTGATGTATACTTATCACTGGGGATGACAGTTGGAGAAATTAGCCAATTTGTCAATGGGTCCCTTCATATATCTGAAAGTTTAAGGGAACATAATAATGAAGAAATCTAACAAATTATATGGATCAGACAAAAGATTGCATAATGGGTTGTCCTGTTTAGCTCTGGGAAAATTTCTACACATAACATATTGCCATTGAAGGTCAATGGCTAGAATCTGGGAATCACTTGGTGCAAGCCTCATTAAGTCTTCTCCTCCGAGAGCATTCTAGACAAGTTGTATTTATAGTAAGATATTCTGGAGAAGTGATGTTCACGATTGTTTTCACATATTCTTTTTCCTCGTTATTCTTCGCTTTTGTTTCCACTTGGATGGAAGCATTTGTAAAATGGTCTTAATTTTTTCAGTGTTGATAAGTCTTATTGCTGTGATCGAGATTACACTTCATATTAGCACATGTGGCCTCCCCACTAGTTTTTAGTTTAAATTTTAAAATTCTATTACTTGTAAATTTTGTTGAGTTCAGTAATGCACTGATTTCAGTATGATTTATCTGGTTCAGGAATTTTCCCTCCACGTTTTTATATTCTGCATTTTTTACAATGCTGAGAGCTCAGTATCTATGCATTAATTCCTTTTCTAAACGACATATTTTGGGATATTGACGTCAGGACTTTTTAACTGCAGGTTTTTAGTTATGATGGAATTCACTCACCTGATTGTTTGGCTGTCACAGCCGCGGGTATAGCAGTGTAAGATGGCTCATATAGTTTGGTGTTTCTTTACATTCAGCTAGTGGACTGGAACCATGTAACGAGTCATCCTGACTTAGCCTTCTTTGTTCTTATAGTGCATTATCAGAGGTTCCAAACTCGCAAATGATTGCTGGGGTTAGAGTCGGCCTTGTTGGTGATAAGTTTATTGTGAATCCAACTACAAAAGAGATGGAGGAGACAGAGCTGGACTTAATCATTGCCGGAACGGATAGTGCCATATTTATGATAGAGGTTTGCTCTCGTTATCTTTTTTTGTTTTGGTAAATGCACGGGGTTCAATGAAAGTGGGAGCCTCCATAAACAGGAGTTTATACGTGGCACTGGTTTTGATTCCAAATTATCCACGAACAAGCTGGCTGCTGAAACTGTTAGTTCTGTTATTTCAATTATAAACACAGTAAACTTCATTCCGTTTAGGCCATTTCGTGTGGTTTGGTTAAGAACCAGTCAAAGTCGTCTTACATCTGACGGGTCAGGTTCAACAATATGCGGTCTGGACAACCAGATTTGTTTTAAACAATGAAATTTCTATCATGATCATTTTTACGATAATCTTAATAATTTTTATTGGAGAATTTAAATAACGTTGATGAGTACACCTGGTGAGACTGCTTAGCAGAGATAGTCACTCTTTTTTCCTTGTTTAATTGAGAGAGTGGATAAGGATTTTTTTTAATGACAAAGGACAATTCTCCTTGATTTTAGAGATAGTTGTGGCCAATATCCTTCACACCATCTGGTTGTTGAGTGCATATTGGAATGGTGAATATGTGTACAACTCCCTTTCGTTAGGTCTCTAAGGAGTATGTGATACTATGTGCTTCAGGAAAGTTAGCTCTGGATTCAGAAAAGGAACCCAAAAAATGAAATGAGGGCACATTACAAAGAGTAGGGACAACCTCAGAGTCATTATTGATGCTAAGACTTCGTTTAGTTGGATGTGTTTTTTATTTAAGCTCCTAAGATGGAAATTGAAAATAGGGGAAAAAGAGTTTTTCTATGGATTGCATCTGTTTTATGAGTGAGTTATTGCATTCATTATTCGTTTCTTTGCAGGGTTATTGCAACTTTCTTGCTGAGGAAAAATTGCTTCAAGCAGTGGAAGTAGGACAGGTATTTTTTTTTCATCTTAATCTTTTATGCTGTCTTTCAAATTGCATACTTTCCTTTTCTCCACTTATCTATGCCTCTTTTCATTGGCGCCTTGGTTATAGTACTTAGGAGCCAAAGAAAAAGCATGGGTGAGAAGGGGAACATGACAATTGAATAAGGTGTTATCAGTCATTTCTGTTTGAAAGATATCAATAGAAACATGAACTTGGGGGCGTAGTTGATAAAATCTATGATATGGTAATAATTGAGGATTTTCCTTCGGAGACTTGCATCTGCACCTGTAGCGTTCATGCCTGTGGCAGCATGTGTGTGCCCGCATTCCTGTCCTTATGGCCTCATGCCGGCGGCAATTTTCTGGACCCAGAACTTCATTCTCTTGGTGCCTGAGTTTATAGTATTTCTGAAATGTAATATTGAATTTCTTTTCCGTCAGATCTCCAGGAATCTCTTAAGCACTGTAATAGACTGAATGAATCCTAGTGGATTTTTATTATAGAATTCTCATAGAAACCATAGTTTGCACTATCGAATTGCTTAATTAAGTCCTCAATTTTCGTTGTTCAAAGGACGTGTAATTTGTCCTCAAGCCTCTTTTTTCCTCTAAGAGCGATTTAGATACCTATATACTCAAAAGGGATGTTTCACAGGTGGGATAACTCGTTCCTGGTTCATTATATTTCACAGCCACTGCCCTAGGAATCAAAGAGAAAAAAGCCTTTTAGATGCTAATACAGATCAAAGGACAATATTTTTCGGATTTCTGGGTTGACTTTTGCTCCAGGTTTTCTGGTGATTGTCGAGTAATGTGGCAACAGTCGATGGACAGTATTTCTCAGGCAGGTTTCTCCTAATGACTGAAGTATGACGTTCTACATAGGTCTACCCTTGGGTTTTCAACCGGTGATCCTGAACAGTTTAAAGTCAATATTTACATCTCTGGTGTGTGAATTTACTTTACGATTGGTCCAATAGACTGTGAAAATAGTTTTTTTGAATTTTGGGATGAAATGGAGAGCATATATCAAATGTGTTTATTGGGCGCGTACCAGAGATTGTGAGCATGGGGTTTTGACATCTGAAGACATAAAAGGATCAGGAATAGCAGCACCTTATAAGAGATGGATTTACCATTTTTTTTAAATGTTAGAGGCGTAAAAGCTTAACATAACCTAAGGCAACTTGGTGGAGATAGTCACAAAAATATGTGAATCATGCATACTAGATTTAATAGTGATAGATAATGTAGAATCATAGAATATATCGGTATTTTTATACAAATTATTTGAGATTTCTTGCTGGGAGATTGATGGGAGAAAGACTCCCGTGTCTGTTCATGTGGCTTCCCAGTGAAATGAGTATTCCCCTGCCAGCCTATCTTGTACTTGTCCAGTGGAGTGATCCCGATGTCAAGAAACTTTTTATCCATGACACCCAGGTTGTTGTTCATGTCTTAGGCAATAAATTGACTACTACCCATGCTTCCAAGTTCCATAAATATTCTATAGCATGATATCAACCTTGATGTCGTGAATGGATTTGTCTTGAACTTCACTTTTATTCAGTTTTAACCTTTATCAAAGTGCCATTTCTTTGCTGTCTCCTTCGGCATTAAAATTTCTAGATACATGAGAGTAATTAGTAGTTGAAGGCAATAATATATCTCACATGAACCCGAAAGTACTCTTTTCTTTCTGATCTATCCCTGTCCAGTTTTTATGAAGAAAAGAGAAGTATACTATTAGCGCCATTTAATTTGAAAATTATGTGAATTGGGCTTGGCAAATATTATTTTGCCTTTACCTATAACCGCCCCAATCCGTTTTATATGATTATTTTATGCTTTATCAAAGACTGCTATTCGTGCTAGTTAGATGGAAAGAAAACAAGATCAGTCTCTCCTTCAGGAGACATGACAACAGCTTTTGTTGTCGGGTCTTCAATAGCATTTGTTGTAACATTGCTAACAGAATGTATAACTTTAAATTTATACCATAGTTTCATGTTTCTTCTATATGTAGGTTTTTCCCGTCGATATCAATTACATTTTTTTGTTATAATGACAGATATGCAATTTTTTTGTTTCCTGTTAAATTTAATATTGCTTTGTTTGAGTAGTTTGCATCTTCTGTCTTTTTTGTTTTAGTTCTACATTAAATTTAATATTTAATGTAAGCAAAATTATGATGTTTAGTAAAAATTCACAGAGCCGATTGCAATATTCATTTTGATGTAAAGTTGTATTTATTGATTTTCTTTGTCCACCAATATCTACAATTTTCACTGGCCATTCCGCCACTTATGGAGAGTATTTTCAATATCAGTCTGCAGTCCAGGCAATATGCAGGGAAGTGGAGGCTTTGGTTAGGAAGTGTGGAAAGAAAAAAATGACTGAGGCAATTAAGTTACCACCTGCTGAGCTCTATAGGCACGTTGAAGTATGAAATTATCCATTGTTCCTCTCTTATGAACATTTTCCTTGTCGCATTTACATTATTATTAGGATGATTTAATGTCATTCATATTTTACACCCTTCTGTGTTATATTTTTGATTCTTTAATGCTTTACATTTCCACTATTTTCCAGTCTTCACTATGGCTGTTCTATTTATGAATGGAAGGGCAACATTTGCGGATGAGTACGATTGAATTTGTATTTCACCAATGTCTCACTTTTTCTCAGTACTCTGATTCATGTATCATATCTCTCTTTTAGGTTATACTTGCCATCTGCAAAGGCCGTTTTTAGGGAAAATTGAGAGGTTCTCTACAATTCCTTGAACCTGTTGTGGAAAGGGCATTGATCATGTTCTTCTGTGAACATGTTCACATGACCAATATAGACATCCTCTTCAAGGCTGCTTTCCAAACTGTGATGCTGATCTTGTTTTTGATAATTAATTTTTGTATTTTATCTGTCCATTAAAATTCTCACCTGTTGTCTCATGCAATTCAATTAAAGACAAGACGGTGAATTTAGCTTTCATGGAATACTCCCAGATTTTCATTTTAGCATGACATTTCAGTTTGCCAGTTAAGACAGAGATGAAGGACCAACAATTTGAATATCCAACCTACTCACATATTCATTGATTACTGAGTTCTTGTCTTGTATTATATGCAGTTCTCCTTATGCAGAGGTTTTCACCTCTTTTTCATTCTTTCACTTATCTTCATCCATGTTTTCCCTGTTGGTTATTCTTCCTACTCTTGTTACAATAACGGCCATATGGGCACTCATGGAAATATCGCTATTTCCGAATACATTTTATGTATCCTTTCCACCAATTGTGCCAGCTTTACTTTCATAGCTGGCGCCATGAGATGCAAAAGTATAGCGTTAGATGATAGTTGAGTTCGTCTACTCGTTTCCTACTATTGTAAATGTAGCTTGTGTTGGTTTATCATCACTGTTTGTAGTTTATGCTCTGGCATTATTTCATCCATGCTGCGCCCACGATTTTGTCTTGTTCTCATGTACAAGCTCTCTTTTTCCTTTGGCAATTGGGGTCATAGTTATGTGAATGCCTTAGTTTTTGGGTTAAGTTAGGCTTCAATTCTGTACATAAATGTGAACGCTGACGTTACAATTTAGGCTAAAGTGTGTAATCCCTAGAAGCCTGTAGGTAATACATGCAGTGACAATGTGGCAAGAATGGGATGATGCAACTCCTGATGTCTCAGACGAAGAATTCTACCTTTCCTCTAGCCTCAACTTCGTATAATTGTCCTGTAGTCCGCTAACGTTGTAATCCCATGGAGGTTAACGCGTTTCTCTTCTTCTCGCTACCCTACTACGTAATCCGTGTTCTTTATTGAAGTATCTGATAGCCTACCTTACTATTTTTTTCATATGCTTTATTTTTCTCTCATATTTACTTGTATCAGACTACACTGTAATTAGTGATAGCTTCACTCATTATTAAATTTTACCTTATATTTAAGGTAACATTAGACGGTGCTGGTGTGACAAATAACTAAAGAGGGAATGGACTTTCGTACTGGGCTTGGCAGGCCTAGATGTGCCAATATTTTCCCTGAAAGGTAGTGGCAGCATTGTCTGTTACCTCAAGTAACATGTTAAGGGCCTTATTCAACAAATATAAATGTTGGCATATTTCACTAAAGTGTACATTTTGAACTATGTTCACACTCATGACAGAGGACCTTTGCACGTGCCCATCTGCTGCAATAAGCACGAGAGATATCATCTTTCTCGTGTCATCTTTGTGTTCAGTTCCTGTTGATTATTGTACTGTAGATTCATTTTTTCTGTGCTGCGGCAAGAGGCTTCTATTCTAGCCGTTATTCTAGGGATTGTATTGAAAAAAGTTGGTTTGCTATAGCATTATAAAGGTAGGTTATTTTTTGCCACGATTTCCCTAGCGTCAAGTGCCCAGTTAAATTATCTGTCTTACTTGTATAGATTCTTCTTGTCCCTCTCTCCCATATGTTTCAGTCTGACTCATTTTTATTTTCACAGGAAATTTCTCGAGATGAATTGATGAAGGCTTTACAGATAAGGAGCAAAATTCCTAGAAGAAAGGCTATTTCTGCTTTAGAAGATAAGGTCATTGCCATTCTTACTGAACATGGCTATGTTGAGAAGGATGAGACTCTGAGTAATATTGCAGCATTAGTTGATGATGAGGATGAAGATGAGGATGAAGTGATAGTTGATGGTGAGGTAGATGAAGGTGATGTTCACATAAAGCCGTTTCCACGGAAACCAATCCCCAAGGTGAGAGTGACAGTCTTCATTGCTGTCCATAGATATTGCATTTAATTCTACTGTTGCTTTCATCCGTTTTGTGAGATAAATAACTTCCCTATGACCAATGCCATTCTAATTGTTATTTTTGCGCACACATAACTTTTTATGGAGAGGTAAAAGATTGTTCAATTGAATAAGGTTAGATATGTCTTAATTTAAAAACCTGAGACGAATAACCCACAGAGAAGATTTTACATGATCATGCTAAAGATAAGGAGTTCCCATTGGTGTCGTGAGAGTGATGCAAGCATGTGCCAAATCTTTGGATGACTATATGTGCTTAGACTATTGTACAAGTATGAGCTGTTTGTATATTTATCCGCTTTTCTGTAGATTTTTAATGTGTGGCAATGAGACTATAACAAGAAATTATTTGCATCTTATCATTTTCTTATGCCATAAGCTTACTTATTACAAAATTATCTTGACATTGAAGTTTTGAGCTTTTTAGTGTAAAATATAAAATAACATGACATGATGGTACGGATAAAACAGATATGTGTCGGGCGAGTGTGAGGTTATTTATGTATTTACTTTTGGTGTTGGTGGGACTTTTTGCGGGTCATGATGCAGAAACACTTTATAGTAAAGGTGTTACTGCAGTTCAGTTTCTACAATTCCATAGACAGTCCAGATATAGCAATCGAAAGCATAGAGAAGTAAAAGTAAACTTTATATGGTGACTCAGACTTTCCTTAATCGATCTATTTTGTAGCACTGTTCTTCAGGACATGGAAAAAATACTGCAGTCAAATTTGTAATTTCCTTGAATCCCTCTCGTTCCATGTGGAATATCGCTCAGCTGGGATAAGAGATGACAATTTGCCCTTTCAGGGAGGACTCCTTTTCAATCCCCATCAGTGTAGTTACTTATAAAAGATGTAATTGGGAATCCTCCTTTAGGATTCTGTCTCCAAAGCTTGATTTTTTTACACCATCCATAGAAGGAGATCCTGGTAGGTTCGATCCTTTTCTCAACTGCCCACAGGTTCTGAACATGGCAGAGAAGTTCATAACTGAACTGTGTAGGACTGACATGGATGACATGCATTTTCCCCTCCCTTCAAGTGCTTTAGCCTTCCTATTTCCAATCTCTTATTGAAGTTTCTCACCGACTTGCTCTGAGCTTGCACGTCAGGAACCCTTTCTGATTAGTGTAACACGAGAGAGTTTTTTTGAGAAAACAAAATTTAGGAACTTAAAAATGACGAGGATGAAGAAGAGGCCTACCGTGGGCAATGTTTGTAAATACTGCCTTATCTTGTAATCAAACTTACGGTCCATAGGCTATAAACTATTTCTGCCAGATTTAATTTTCTTCAAAAGTCTTGTAGACAGGAAATCTTGAAAAAATAATTTGGGCTTCAATTGAGTGGAGTCAGAAACCAAAATTACTTGTTCCGAACATTTCCATCTTTCAAAGGTCAGTGCCAAATAAGTCGTGTTGAGTCTCCATAAATAACCTTTCATTGAATTGAACTCTTGAACCGCCTTCATCAAATCATGTTTGATGATTTCCCACGGGTCTTGAAAGAAAAACACGGGAAGACTATCTGGATTGGTGGAATAAAACATTATTGTGATAGTTTCTATCCGTTCAACCCTTTTTTCTCTCTTTTATTTCTGGATTGGTGGACAAGTCATGAATATTTGCAGTTTTATTAAATGTTAATATACAAACGGCATAGGATTAAGACATTGTTTATGTTTGACAGTTATTCTCTGAAGTTGATGTTAAGCTGGTTTTCAAGGAAGTAACATCAAAATTTTTGCGCAGACGCATAGTTGAGGTAAATTATAGATATGGTTTTATTTATTTCAAATTTACTATCAGGAGCATGGATATCGTTCTCTAATATCATAAATGCAATTGGGTTTTTTCGAGATGCTTGGCATCTCATAACATTAACAAAGAAACCGTAATTGTGCTTGGTGCCTATGTTATTATTATCAATGTAACCACTTCACATGTATAAGAACCCAATGGGTTCATCCAAAAATTCTATGCACACACAGTGAACCATATGCTAATTATCTGGATTACACTTCCTGCTATCTATCAACACCACCTCATATTTTTGTTACACTGTAGATTTTTTTTTCTGAGAATGATTGTTGATATTTCTTCATTCTTTTCTTTATAGGTACTATTCTTATCGCTCTCCTAGTTTCGTGACAGGTGCTAAGCAATTGTTAACCACAATGTCTCTTACTGCCAAAACTCCCTTTATCTCACCAGTTGCTTTTTGAACTGGCGAAAATTCTGATGTCCATACATCAGGCCTGCCTACTGAAGAAGCCATCTCAAATTTCGGTCCATACATGGGAAACTTCTGTATGGACATCAAAGTTTTGCGAAAATTCTGATGTCCATACATCAGACAAATGTGCCTACTGAAGAAGCCATCCCAAATTTCATAACTCCTTGTTCCTAGAATTTTCCCGTGTCTTAAGGTGGATGGATATATAAGGCAGCGTCAATCACCATGCTGCCACTCTCTGACAGAAGGCCCATGTGGCTGCTAGCACCCAGATCGCTTATTTGTGCAACAAAAAATGTGATGACATTAAACACCATCTGATCCAAGAGTGAACCATCACTTTCTTTCCAAATCTCATGGGGTAGGATGATTGACGCATCTTTCAATACAGGTGCCTTTCCCTTTTCAAACGACAGCTGAAATACTATGCTGCAAGTCTCAGGGAGTCTCAATTGACTTTCATGAGTGTTGCTTTGAGAAACAAATTATCTGCTCTTAAAGAAGAATGCCGTCAGTTCTGCATGATGTACTGGCCGCTAAGTATGTACCTGGTTACCTATTGATCTGATTCGTCATTGCACTGGTTTCACACCTGTGCTCTCCCTCGCCTAAAACCTTTTCCCACTCCATCCTTAATGTCTTCCTTAAAACGTGCCATGTAGAAGACAACACCCAATATGGAGCATTGTTTTTAATCAAATATTACCGCATTCTCATGAGGTTTGGAAATCCAAAAGTACATTTATTACCGGATGTTATTGCCTCAATTTTCTACCTTTTTGGCTTATTTTCACTGAGTGATGAAGAAAGAAATTTTAGATGTCTGACCATTGACTTTTCCATGTTGCCTAAAATGGCAGGGACTTTTGGTAGTGTCCAACATTGATCATTGGCTGATGCAATTTTGTCGTTTCCTCGTAAAATTTTGTCTCTATCTAGTGATTATCTAATATGGTTAACATTTTGTTCTTTTCCGTGGATATCAGGGAGGAAGACGAAGTGATGGACGAAGCCCACAGGATATCCGTCCAATAAGCTCACAATGTGGTTTGCTTCCTCGAGCGCACGGAAGTGCACTTTTCACACGTGGAGAAACACAGGTGGAATTTTGTGATTAGTTTATTCTCATGTTTTCTCAATTTATTTTGCCAATGTTAGGTATAAGCTCTTGGGAGACGGTGAAAAGGTGGGTATGAGTACGGAATATGTTGAAAGTGTCGTTTGCTGAAGTGTATGGAGAGACTTGTATATTTTGCACGAAGCTAGCAACTAATTGACTCTTTGCTTGAATCTTCTTTCGTTATTACCTATCCTGGTGTAGATTTCTGTTGTATAGGGAAATCTACTAGGAAGAAAATTTGTAGCTCTGCACTGTCTTGTAGTGATTGTGAAAGATGACCGTCTGTCTGATAGTGTTAGGTATCTGTTGTGAAAGGCATGCATCATTTTCATTTAGTCAACCCTCTATTGGCGGACTGAAACGTATAGTGATTGTAATGATTCATAGATTTTTAAAGAACTAAGAGATAATTCTTTTAAAAATGTCCAAATTAGTTTTCAGAACCTCATTTTATGGTGCTTGATTTCTCCTGGTTCTTAATATTACACTTGGGTTCCCAAAACATCTTTTAGAACAGTGAATGTGTTAAATCCTAGATGCTTTCGTGTAGAAGACAACAAGGACTATGGGTATTAGAACGAGGTGCAAGAAAACTCTTGTGGAATCCCTTGCAAATGTTTACCGAAAATTTCCACCGACAAATTGGCAGTAGATTGTCATTTTAACTTGGTTAATTGTGGTAAGTGTCAAAGTACTCATTGCTCATGAAATCTCGCTGATATTGAAGTTTCCTAATATGCATAACTTCCAAAAATATCTGAACTCATGAATATGTTGGATCATGTAACATTAGAAGGATGCAGAGATCTAAATAGGGCATGGGATGAAGAGAAATGCTCTTTGCTGCAAGGATTAAGTATAGATCTGTGTTCCTACGAAATATATATATATATATATATCGTTCCTATAAAGTCAGAAGAAATTGTTTCCCTGTGGTTAGGTCTTCCGTGGAAAAATGTTCCTTTTGATCATGACTCTGGTAGATTTGGTATCATTGAGAATGATATTGTCTATGTTCCTTGGATGTTTCCATGAAAATGACTTCAAATGAGATGTAGTAACTATGGCGACCTACTCCAATTTTTACAATAATCTTGAACCAGAACTTTTAGGAAAAAATGATGGCTTTGCTTGAGATGGTCAGGAAAACACTTTTATGAGGTTGCGTAGATGAAACTGATTGGGCAGCACAGGTATGGGAATCGAACTGATTATGTTGTAGATGAAACCTATGGTTGCTATTTTTCTGCTTACTAATCCACTGTAACTAGGGGATATTATAAATTTTTTACTTTTTACAAACCTGTTCCCTAAATCATAGTATCTTTACCTTGTTGAACAAAAAGTAGGATGACTACCATTGTGATCCTTTTTGTTATCAATGAATTATTACATTTCTCTGAAAAAGGTAGTATGAAAGTTGCTTTATTTGCCTACTTTTTAAAAAAATTCACCTGTTTCTACAGTCACTTGCGGTTGTCACTCTTGGAGACAAACAAATGGCTCAAAGGATAGACAACCTTGTGGATACAGAGGAACATAAAAGCTTCTATCTCCAGGTTGACTTTGAAATCTGAGTGTTATTTTCTGATTTACACTGTTTAACCTTGGTATTAGATGTGCATATTCTATTTCTGTCTGTTTCCATTCTTTTTTCTTTATTATTCTAAACGAGATTTCTGTTTTCTCTCTTGTCAGACGGCCATTGACTTGGATTTCTTGTTCTCTCGCATAACTCGTTGTGTTTGTTTCTTTTTTCCTTGTTCTTTATTCTTCTCTTGTTCTCATCTAGAGGTGTTTCCTTGAGAACAGACTTTGAATACAATGTCATCATGTGAAATCACTTTTTCTGTGCTTCAGCATAAGTATCTTTCTTGCCTTATTTCTGTTTTTCTAGTAGCCCCGAAAAGTTTATTCTTATCCAGTTCCTATTAATAATAGTCCATCAACTAGTCTCCAACATTTTCTCTTTGTCATTGTCTACCATTTAGAATATGCGAGCTGAAAGCTATATCATATTTCAATTACACTGCCGTTTATTTTGACATTGTTAAAACAGTCTGTATACCAATATGAATTCTTACACAACGTTTCCAGGCACATTCTGATATGAAAAAGCTCTGGTTTCTTTTTCCAGTATTCCTTTCCACCGTCATGCGTGGGAGAAGTTGGTCGTATCGGAGCACCAAGTAGGAGAGAAATTGGTCATGGAATGCTTGCTGAAAGAGCTCTTGAGCCTATTTTGCCTTCAGAAGAGAATTTTCCCTATACCGTGCGTGTTGAAAGTACTATTACTGAAAGCAATGGATCATCAAGGTCAATCCGAAACAATATTTTTTCAGTAATGTTCTTACGTTATTCTTCATTCAGATTTGATTTATCCCTGCAGTTCGTAAAATGTCAGGCCTGTTCTTAACATTTATAGTTTTTTTCTCATTCATTAGCATGGCATCTATCTGTGGAGGTTGCTTAGCCATGTTGGATGCTGGGGTTCCTGTGAAGTGCTCTGTTGCTGGGATAGCAATGGGTATGGTCCTGGACACAAAAGAATTTGGAGGGGATGGAACCCCACTAATTCTCTCGGACATTAGTGGCTCTGAAGATGCGTCTGGTGATATGGATTTTAAGGTTGTTTTTTCTGTCTTTATTGGTTTTTATTTAGTAGTATTTTGAATCGCTGTACGTCATTCTGGTACTGGATTTCTATTTCTTATATTCGAATGAATTGAGACTAAGGCTACAAGAAACCTGACATTTCAGGTTGCTGGTAATGAGAATGGTATCACAGCTTTTCAGATGGATATAAAGGTAATAACTATTTTCGATTAGATGACTGATTTCTTGACATATTCTATCTTGTATCTTTCGATGACTCTCATATCGAATTTATACCGTCAAGTTTTTCTTTTTGCTACAACATCTCGTTTACTTATTCTAGATATTTTTTTTACTGTCTGTCATCACTCATGAGAGGACATACAATATGAGGACAAACATGGCCTTTTTCCACGGTACTTGTACCACTGGTTAGAAATCAAAGGTTCAAACTTAGTCTTAAAGGAATTTTTTAGTGGATTAGGGTTTTGTGATTATGATTTATTATTTTAGTCTGTAATTTGGTCACTAAAATGTTGTTTCTCATAAAATGGGTCGTGATACATGTTTTCTTGTGGGTAAGAAATGTTACATTTCTGGAAGAAGTGCGGATTTGGCATAATTACTTGGAAAATTTTCAATCACGTGTTTATTTTCTCCCTTAGTCTTTCATCTTATCATGGTTATATTCTAATTGTAAAATGGCAGGTCGGAGGAATCACCTTACCAGTAATGGAAAGAGCACTTCTTCAGGCAAGAGAAGGTCGAAAGCATATTCTTTGTAAGTCTTACTTGCACTACCCCAAATTTTACTGAAGGATAGTGTTTCATTGAATATGTTGGAGGTGCCGATCTTTTGCCATTGCTATTTTCTGTTTCAGGGCCTCGTATTTATCCTTCATTTATTAGGTCTAAAATATCCATACCTGGTGTCTAAGTATTGATGATCAGTTATTACTCTTTTCTATTAGTTTCATATCCGTATAGTTGAATATTACTTTTCTATCAGTTTCTGCATACTTATTTGTCTCATTTATGTCTCCATACATGGAATGAAGATTTAATAATGTATAAAGGGTTCCTAACTTTTAAGTCTTAGGCTGTCCTATCCAGCTTTCAAGCAAAACATCTCAGGTACTCCAATTTACCTGAGAAATTGGGTATATGTACCCTAGGGTCCAGTGATAGGATACCGATACCACAAGGACAAACTGATGAAGATCTGATAGAAAATGAAGGAAAGAAGACAATAACAAGAAGTTCAGGAACGGGATCCCGGGAAAAATTTCTAACTACTGTCGATAACTTTTTGAGAGGGTTATCACTCTCTACCAAACTCTAATCTTTCGATAACCCCTCTCTTCCTCCGTCCCCCACTTTTGTGCGGTCTTCCCTGGGAATATTATCAATAAACCTCTGACAATTGTGACTTTGCCCCTTTCCTCCACCTAGCATCCTTATATTACATTGGTAGCCTATCATATAGACCATAGCCTGTATCATCTGAAAATTTTCTCCTAAGCCACTTAATCATACAAATCCATTTTGCATTAGTTACTCACAATTACTATGGGATGTGCGTTGATTGTTTTTTCGGTGTGGGCAAGAATCCTCTGCCCGTCTTGATTGCTAGCTGGGTACTGACAGCCTATGCTCTCTACCAAGTTACCCATGCAACTTTCATTAATGAGGACAAAGTCTGTTGCACCATGTGAAAATTTTATTTGACTCTTGATACGAATCTCGGTTAAATTCTTCGTACGGTATACATAGAGTATCCAGAAAAGCCCTTCAAAATTCTAGAGAAATGCTGGTGATGTGCGACTCATTCCGTACTTATTTTTGTTTAACGTTTGAGGACATTTGGGTAGATGCTATAAATGGTGATTTATTTCTTGCTGCCTTTAGGTTTATTACTAGTACTGCATGGACTTAGTATGAAAATGTTAGTGTGTAAGTTGGTGCCTATTGACGAGCACCATCTGGAGCTCTAGTGTCCATAATTTCAGCCTAAATTTATGATTCATTGTTATATTAGGTTTTCATTTGTTTGTAAGATTCATTCCTATGTTTCTCATGACTGTGTTTATGGAGGACAAAGTAGTGATATTAAATACTTCTGTAACGAAAACTGTGGGGACTTCTTTCGTTGACTCTGTATCTATACTAAGGGAATAAAAATTGGCGAAGGTTTGCAGGCTATCTGGTTACTTTTGTTAATTATTTCCCAATGTAAGCAAGAATTTAGTTGATATCTCTCCCACTATATGGAAACGACATCTGGGTTCTGCTTGCCGAATCTAACTCATATCTGAGGGGATGTGATCTGCATGTAAATCAACAAATCTATTCGAAAACGTTTTTGGTTGACTAATTCTTTCCGTTCATGCATTAGATTTCTGCAAATCTGTGCAAGCCATTTATGGCTGATGGCGTATTTGTACAAGTTGTAGCATTCCTGCTTGAGTGAGAATGACATAAGATTAAGATGGTAGTAGAGTTGCACTCCAAACATACACAACGATCTAGATTCTGCAAACTCCCATTTCTTCTTCTCCTTTTTCTCGTAATACTTAAAACAAGCACTTTGATAACATATGTGGTGGATCTAACTCTTGGAATGTTTTGTAGACTGATTTCAAGATGTAGTATGGAGTGGATTCTTTCCTTTTGAGACCAAGCCTAGAATTTTTGAAAAGAATGTTCAAATCCCCACCATTTTTCCTGCATGTTCTTAGTGATATCATCAATATTAAATTATTTGGCAGCGATTGCCAACGGTTATAAAGGATGGATCTATGGGGTTTTAGGAGATTTCCGAAGTATTTTAAAGCAATTTCGTGTATTTTTTATTTTTCTGAAAGAAAAATATATGACTAATAATGAAAAATAAAAATGGCGGAATTATGTCCATAGCAATTCAGTTTTCAGATCATACGATTAGGGAATTGGAGTGGTGCCATTGAGTCCGATTTAGTATGTTTGATACCTTTGATTCCTGACTTAAGGAAGGGAATAGCCTCGGGTTTCATGCTAGGGTCTTAAATAGTGGGGCCTAGTCTAGCCTATCCAAGTGCTTCCCTTAAGGGGATGATTGCTGTTGGACGTTTCTTGGGGAGAGGGCATAATAACCTCACCATAAGAAATTTATAATGTGATTGGCAGATATAGATGCGGGTTGCATTTAGAGGGTAAGGGCATTGAAGGAAGGTTGATGGCTTTTACCTGGAGTGATGTTGACTGAAAATAAAGAAGAAGCCTACAAGTGTTTGCTACCCAAAAAGAGAGTGATGTAGCTTATATAATGTAAACAAATTAACATATTGAATAGCACTATTCTTATAACATTCTCATATTTTTGCTATGTTAGATTCACCTGGGTTCTGCGTGATCTTCAAATTCATTTGCGAAAATGACTTTTCGACCTGTCTGCCTAAATTGAGTTGCACGTGTTGAACTGGCATATTACAGTTTTTGGGCTATTATGGTATATAATGGGCCTGGCCAAAATGGGTGGAGGGTGGTGGCGTAAAATGTTGAACTTGAGATCGGATGCCTTGTCTAATGTTTTATTAAAGTCTTTGTTTATTGTATGTTATATTTAGTACCGACTTTATAATATTTGGATTTAAGCATCTGTCGCTTCATTGCTTATTGTATGGAATGTTAATATTCTTTTTGTGTTTATTATTTGTTCCATTTCAGCTCAAATGGAGAAGTCTTCTCCGCCTCCATCTGGGAAGCTCTCCAAGTATGCACCATTAATTCACGTCATGAAGGTTGGTAGCTCTTGTTAATTTTTCTTTCCTTCACATTTATGGTGGACCATTCACCAGACTTTTTTCTAAAGCCTACGATATGTGATTAGGTCAAGCCTGAGAAGATAAATGCTATCATTGGTGCTGGTGGGAAGAAGGTGAAGAGCATTATTGAAGAGACTGGAGTAGAAGCGATTGATACGCAAGACGACGGCATTGTAAGCTCGAACAGTTTTAGTTCAATGGTTTTGATGATAAATGCTACCTCTTTTCTTAGGTTATGAAGTTTTCCATCAGGTCAAAATTACAGCAAAGGACTTGGTGAGCTTGGAGAAGTCTAAAGCGATAATTGCCAGCCTTACGATGGTTCCAGTGGTTGGTGAGATTTACAGGTGTGACAAAACTGATTGCCTTAGTACATATGAGAAATGAAATTGTCCTTTGGATTGTTATTTTATTTTGAAGCTGGCAATAGATGGTGCTCTAGTAGACGATGCATGTTATCTTTTTAACTGTGTCAGTCCGATAATTTCTCTGCTGTTAGGCCTTGTGTATCTAGAGAAACCTGCCTGTTCCGTTATAAGATATCCTTATGTTGATTAAAATTTGTACTTCTTTAAAGATTCTTACATCAATTGCTAATCTACTTTATAAAAGCAATATGTATTAGTATCGTTATCTTTTTCCTGTGAGAATATGAATGGATCTTCCCACAGCTTGTTGGTTTGATTGAGGAGTTTAGTTTCTACCAGAGGAAAATTTTTACGGAAATAGCTGTACCCGCTGCCAGATGACAGAAAACGTGTGGAGAAGAGCAGGAAAAGTAACTATGATAGGGCATTCTAAAGCCGCAGGCCTTTTTCTGATAGAACATGAAAAGACTTCCCTCCAGTTGCCACCCACTACAGCCGCAAGCTATTCTATGATAGGGTATCAAGGGATTAGGGAATTTTATTTCACATTTTTTATGAAAATTATTTTGAAATATAAGAGTATGGAGTATACTTTTCTTCTCTTTTCACCTGATTTGGCTGATTTGGCGGATCCAATTAACAAACTAGATTGGATGGAGCCATTCATGGCCTGACCCAATTTAAAAGCCCACATCGCCACCATGAGAAAGCTACTTTCAAGTTGTATCGTAAGTTGATATGTCAGAGTCCCGCTCAACTGCATCTGTGGGAAATGCTCAGATGTTATTATATGCGCAGTTCTTTCTTTCCATCCTTCGATTCGCTCTTTATCTAGCTTTGTTATGTGATGTTGAGTGCTTTTTAACTGTTTTACTCAATGCATCGAAATCAGAGTAGTCCAATTTCATGTCTCATGTTTGACTAAGGACCCTTAGATCTTAATATTTTTTTTCTGCAGAAATTGTGAGATTAAGTCAATTGCAGCGTACGGTGCTTTTGTTGAGATTGCACCAGGTCGCGAGGTATATTTCATCCTAGTTTTATGCAATCTACTGATCTGAAGTTATGCCACATATTTTAATCATGTTTCTTACATTCTTTTTCCTCGTCAGCCATATTCCTCTAAATTGAAGGCAGACATTATGAAATTAGGCATACTGCCAAGTAGAGTAGAGATCGCATTGACATTCATCGGTTTCATTACATTTACGTTTGATTCTTCAATTTCAAGTTAGACTGGAGGTACGCTTTCATATATTCTTCTTTTGGATAGGGTTCTCGGGTAACCCAAGACATGTATAGAGTAGATTTTTCACTGTTTAGTATCATCCGTAACTCTCACTATCACTTACATCGTGACAGTAAGAATATACTGTGCTTTTTATGCAAACATGATCCGTTCATATGTTTGTGCTATCCATCCCAAGTATTCTTTCTGAATTTCAGGAAAATTATCATTGTGGGAAAATTTTCCCTTTTTTCCCATTTAAATGATATCTGGACAAGTTGGGGTATGTAGGATTATAACCACGTGTATTTTCCCTCCTATCAAACACTTTTAGCATGATGTACTTTAGAGAAGTGGGAAATATTCCAAAATTCTAGAAATTTATATTTTAGTCCATATACTTTTTAATACGAATGTTGGCTTTATTGATGAGAGTTTCTTTACAGAACTCTTTTAATTTATTTCACCGTGCACACTCTCTGCAACAGGGTCTCTGTCATATCAGTGAACTGAGTTCAAGTTGGTTGGCAAAGGCTGAAGATGTAAGGAAGATATTTGGCAACCCAGCTTGTAAATTCTTTGTTTTAAGAGTCCAATGTTTCTGGGCATCTGTTACAGGTTTTGATTGAACATTGTTGACAGGTTGTCAAAGTTGGAGATCGTGTGGACGTTAAGCTTATTGAGGCTAGTAACCTTTTTTCCTTTTTGTATCTCATTCAGCATAAAATTTTCTCTCTTTGGAAGTTGCACTTTTTTTCATTCTGAATTTCTATGTTAAGTTGTGTTCAACAAAAGCATATTGTTTAATAGACCATTGACATCTGTGTACAAAATAAATCAAACTTTACTAGGACATTATTGTTTGGTTCAGGTTTACATGAACTTTGGCTAGGATGTCACATTACACAACGTTAAGTCATTGTCATATTTAACAGAACTTCAGAATGTGTTCTATAGTGTAATTTGCATATTTGATGTTCCATTTAAACATGGAATGTTGTCATTTGGACCAGTTTTCTTTTTTATTTGAACATGGGGCCCGGTATTTTCTGCTTACTTAGGATTTCGGAAAATGTACTTAAGTTCATATGCCATATTTCCTGTTCCCTTTCATTATTGCACCTTGAAAGGATATGAATTATAAAGTAGATACTCTTTTTGTGGTAACTATTCATTCAACTAGAAGATAAAATCATGCATTGCTGTGATTTGGGTTGCAGAGAAAATGGAATAGCTTCAGTTATCTTGAAAGTTAGACTGGAAATACGATTTCACATATTCTTCTTTTGGTTAGGGTTCTTGGGTAACCCAAGTCTTGTAGAGAGTAGATTTTTCTCTGCTTAGCATTGGTAAATCCTCTATCATTTACATTGTGACAGTGGGAATACGTTGTGGTAACTATACATTCAACTAGCAGATGAAATTGTGCATTGCTGTGATTTGAGTAGCAAAGAAAATGAATAGCTTCACTTGTCTTGAAAGTTGTTGCTGTCGTTCATAGTATGCAAGGTTTTTCTGCCTTGAGGCTATACTCCCGGAAATCCCCCATGTTTGCTACTTTTTTTCCAATGGATTCTCTTGTTTCACTCAAAATCCGTAACTTCATTGTTCCCCCTTTTCAAAAAACAATTAAGAAATAAAGGAAGATTATTGTTTGCGTGTTGTAACTTGTATATATTCTTCACTAAAAAGAGTCTTATTCAAGAGACCTTAAAGAGTGTGCACGATTGGCTTTCATGAATCAGATGCATGGTAGAAAACAGAGGATTGCTATCAATGGGGAACATTCAGAACTCATACGAGTTCAATAAATCTCACGGTCTTATTTGTACAGGAAAATCTAAAGTCAGCCGGAATTCGTTTCCTGCCCTAGATGAACATATTTTCTGTCTGTTCTTACGTGTAAGAAGCCTCTTTTCACGTATCAAAATAGTGGCAGAAGGACCTATCCATCGGTTTGAGACTGTACCCGTGTTGAAGTTGAATTCCAAATCGGACATGTCACTGAACAAAAGTAACTAAACAGCAAGTAATACGATGGTGCTTGTTTATCGTGATGTTTTAGAGGAATATGTTATGTTGAAAGGCAGTACATCTGATTCCTGATTTTTGGCCTTTCCCCTGATTACTCGATAAGATACAACTTTCTAAACCGGGTTGGTTAATTACTTATATGATAGGTTGAAAATCTGTAAAACTTCTCCTCTTTGGCGTTCCTGCTTAGTCTTAGACTCTACCTCTTTCTTGGCTGCCAACGAATGTTGAAACCGAGCAACATATTGCTCAAGATACACTTCTGTGTACTCTTGGAAGGGGTGTTCAGTTGGTTATACCATATGAGTACGTGAGTGAGCCCCCACTCCCTCTGGATCAACAAACACGTCTGTAAAGTTTTAAATTCCTTGAAATGCATGTTGACCACTGTATTATTTAAATCTGCCAGACTGTAATAGTCCACGAGTTTGACCATCTAGCTGAGAAAGTGCATAAAATGAAACATGGTTCAAAGTTCTCAGCAAACGTATATGCTACTGTAGATGGCTTTGGAATTTGAATCCCTTCCATCACTTTTAGGATGAGGAAACTATATTTTCCATGGTTTTTTTATCCGTATCTTTATTTTCTGTCTTCATATGAATGTCTGGCTCTTATACCTCTTATACTTGCGTATTGAAAACTAAACAATTATCGTTTTAAGATGACTCAAATAAATGGCATCTGTTTTCCACTTCAGATAAATGAGAAGGGCCATCTACGGTTAAGTCGCCGTGCACTACTTCCTGACGAACCCAGTGCCACTGGCCAAAGCGGTGACCCTCAGGTTGGCAGTGATAATGCTAAAGAGTTAAAGCCTTCTGGAAACGATAACCTGGTGAAACCGGGTATGGAGAAGCCTAAGAATGACGTTAAAATTAAGACTACTGTTAGAAAGCCAAGCCTGACAAAAGAAACTGCTTCAGATCAAAATAGGTTGGTTGGTAAAACGCTCTCCCAGGATAAGGCGGTAAAGGAAGAGACTGGATCTGCCAAAAGTACACCATACATCAACAAAGACAGACAAAAGGACGATGTCAAGGTTGCTTCAGATCCTGTAGCCGTAGATGGAGCCAGTGTAGTTACTAAAGAGGCAAAAACAGGGTGATAGGCGAGCAGAGGAGCACATGGTTTTTGAAGTTGACTCAGGTATTTGAATCCTGAAGAAGATGACTGGGGGATATCTTCAAGCTAACAGGATATGCCAGGTAAAGAATAATGTTTCATATGAATCGCTATGGTGTCCTTTCATGCAATCGTTTTCTCATCAGTCTCTGAATTTATTAGAGCGTATTCCTAGTCCGTGAATTCGCAGCAGTACATAGATTTTTTCTTGATGGATGTTCATTCTATGTTGCCTTGGGAATCGAAGAAACAAAACATTTGTCATCTAGTTCTATTTTCTTCTATTTTCTTATATTTTCTTCTTACCGTTTGGATCTAGTTCATAGGAGCAACTTAAAAAACCACCTATACAATCTATCCTCATAATTGCTTGATTAAGTAGATTTGGTTCGTCACTAGAAATTTATTGCTAGTCAGAGTTTAGAACTGGTGATTCTCTGCAACTCCTATCCATATCAAGATTAGAATGTTTGTATGTGACTTGACTTGAAAATACAAGACCGTGTTCTGTCCTGCCCAAAGAGTGGTCGAAAATTGTCAGATTTTCCTCAAAGTTTCTAGTGCATCTTATTTATTTATTTTCATTTTTTTGAAATGGTTCTTTTTTATTTCGTTGTTCTACCTGGTGTCCAATCATATCAGGAGATTTCCTGGCAGGGTCCGTTTATGTTTGTTTAATTTTTTTCTTTCTTTCTCCATAGATTAGTGCCCTTGTCTTCCCCTTAGTGTGGTTATCCATAATCACATCCAGGAATCTTGGAGTCAAACCTTTCAGTTAAATAGCACCAATTCATGCGTCATTCTGTTTCATCTTAATCCATGTCCCCATTCATTCAGATGTAGTTGATGGGTTCATGTTGATCCATTTGTGTTTATTTTATTTTCGTTATAATTGGTATTCTCTGAAGTTCTGACTATGTCCTCTGAGAAGAAAATTCATGCCACTCTTATGCCACTCTGATGCTCTGCTGATCGTTGGATTGGATGCCATGTCTCCCTCTTTGATCAGTTTTATTAGCCCATTCGCTGTGACTCTCTCTCTCTCTGTCTCTCTCTAGGTTGCACCTGATGTTTCATCTCAATCCATGTTGCTGGTGCTTCTGCTGTTCATAGTTGGGCTCATGTGGGTACATTGTGTGTTTATTTCAGTTCCATTATAGTTAAAGAGGGGAAATATTGCCAGCCATTCGGTATAGTCCCAACTATGGCCTCGGCCAAGAAAATACTCTCTCTCTCTCTCTCTCTCTCTCTAGGATGCACCTTATGTTTGACCATGTCTACCAGGTGCTTGGCACAACATTTGTGGGGGGCTGGGCTTGCATTGAGGCTTCTCCAAGTGGGCAGGATCTATCGATGGACTAATCACCCAGGTCGACAAGATGAGGCAGATAGTGATTCACTTACGACATTTCCACTCATTTTTTCTAAAGTTTGCTCTCGCCATCTATTCTTCTCCTCTGACAATTAGCATACACGGGAAATCATCCTCTCCCAGTTCGAACCAGTGATCTCGAACATTTCTTCCTTTCTTGGATATTTCTTATATACTTTCATAATTATTAAATCCTTTTATTCTTATCTAAAATATGCACAGACGTAGCGAGAGAGAGAGAGAGATGAGCCCATCGATCTATTTTGCACCACAGTTAATGTGGCATATATTTTTATTTTTTTTAATGAATATTGAAAGTATCATAGTCAAAAAGTCGCTGGCCGATGTTCCACGGCAGCGGGTGGATAGAGGCGGTGACTCAGTCAGGACTCCACGTGGTCATCATTCATTGGGCTAATGGGTAGACGTGATCAAACGGCTCAGATTCTGCTTCGCCGTTTAAAGAATTAACGCTTCCGGTCTAACAAGAAAAACGCTGATTCCAGTTGCGGCGGTAAGAAAAAAAGAACTGTTTTTCAATAATTACAGCCGAGAAAGGAGGAGGACGCGTGGAAAAGGCCCATCTCTCTCTCTCTCTCTCTCTCGCGCGCGCGCATTCCTCATGGCTGAGCCTCTTGTCAACCCCTGGTAAAGATCACCCAATTGAGGAAGTGGGTATTACCCAATTTGGAATATTTTCATGCCAGATAAGATAGAGAGAGAGAGAGAGAGAGAGATGTCCCACAAAATAAGTTAAGTGAATAGGAATAAAAAAATCTGCGCAACAAAAGAGAAGGGAAACACCGCGAAGAAGATGAGAATGGCTGCCCACACGGCGGTCCAATCAGGGCCCCCTCCGCTAGATTCCGCCTGCCGTCCTTCTAGATGGTCACTATTCAAGGACTTCTGCAAGAATGGATGGAAGGGCAGCATCTCGGGATCTGCGGCTCGAGGTGCCCCTCTCTTCCGCGGCCGAGGGGCTTCCAATAATGGACTCTTCTGGGTTTATCTCACTCAGTCTTCCCCTTCCCTATTAAATTCCGCCTCTACGTCTCCTGTCGAATTCAGAACCGGGTGAATCTTCTTGCTTGCACGGCAAGGGCGACGCGGGACCTTGGCGGCGGTCGCCTCGTTTGGAGTATCTCCCTCTGTCTCTCGCTAGCGTGCCCATCCCGCCGATCTCCCTATTCCCAGCCTGAACAGAAGCAGAGGGGGTTCCTTTCTACAACAATTGGGGGGGCCCGGAGCAGACGGCCCCCTGCCCTCCTCCATCTCTCCGTGACGGACGCCGAGTTCGCTGGTTAGAGGTTCCTGTGGGTGAATCTTCGCCCTAAAGGTCGTATTCAGGAGGGAAGACGGGTGCCAATCCGCCTTTCGCCTTGCAGGCGGGGAGCACTTTATCCGATTCCCTTGAACAAGAGCAACCTTTTAATGGGTTCTGCCTGAAAGTCGGAGCTGGGCGTTGTGACTCCTCCGGTCCTCCCGATCGTCTCCTCCTACCTGCCGAAGCTTGCTCGCTTCCACTCTTCTGCAATACGGGAGGAGGAAGGGGAGGGGCTTCTGCAGGTTGAGGCGGATTTTCACCATCTCCATCTCCGAATGTGGTTCGAAAGGGTCGCCGGAAGTGGGGGGCTGCCGTGGGGGGTTGGCACCCTTATGAGGAGGAAGAAGGTGGACTCTCATAGGGACAGAGCGGAGGGAGGCCATCACCAGCTCGCCAAGGAGCTCTCTGTTCTCGATCTCATCGCTATTGGTAATGACAACTTCTTGTCGTAGGCTCCATGGAAGAAGGATTCCTCTGGTTTTCCTCCAATTCCTCTATCAGCCCAATCGTTTGGACATCACCGATTCATGAATCCTCTCTTTCTTCTTTGGCATGGTAAATTTTTTACGAAAAAGATTCCTTCGTCCAACCTCTTGCGGCAGCTATGAGTTACATCCCTTCAGTTGGCTCTTCCGCGCCCGGGTTCTTCCTAGAGGGGGGGCTCGGTCAGAAGAGGGAGCCAGAGTTGTTGCTTTGATCCCGGCTCTCCTCTTGGTTGACCCAGTCTCATGTAAATAGGCAGCTTCATCTACTTAGCTGACTAAATATTACATACCTCTCAATTTTTTCACTTATTTGTATATTTCTGTCTTCAGCGCTTGCTTTTGATGCGTAAGAGATGTTTTCTTGAACTTCCTCCAGCAGTAGACCGCAGGAAATAGGCAAGTGGGTTATGTTCATTCCTGGTTGATGGGTTTGACTTTCATCTTATATAGAGGTCGAGATAGATCTTTAAACAAGTTTCCTGATCTGGGCTCCTGGGATCTTAAGTGCACCGGTTACCCCTGATAGGAACGCAGTTGTTGCCACGGCTTGGGAAGAACAAAAGTAGACTTATGTAGGACCATTCATGAGGAGAAGAAAAACCGTGAAGGAAACAGGAGTTAAGCTCCTGAAAGTCAACCATACGAAGACAATGACCGCCGATATCCTCCCAGTACTGTACAGATATGCTCCAAATTAAGATTTCTAAATATTTCCAAATTAAGATTTCTAAATAGTAAGTTGAGAGCTGAGAGCATGAAATACCTCATTCTTCAACATGCATCATTTAACTGCATATCTGATCTTTCTCATTTCCTTTTTCACTAAATTTCTTTTTGGTCAGCAGAGATCATCTTAAAATGCCTGTAACATAAAAATGCTGGTCATAATTTCCCCCGAGTTCATCAATAAAATCACTTAAAGAGTCTAGAGAGAGTATTCCCTCTCGAGTCTTGTTATAGTATAGATAGAAACCGTGCTGGCTTTCAAGAGGGTCAAAAAATGGTGTTCTATAAAACAAGGCATATTTATTTGATCAAAATGTATTAGCGTGGATCGTCACAGTTCGTCATTTTTGTACCTTGCTTCCTTGGTCTTGATCTCTCTTCCACCTGATGGTTCATCTCAAGACATGGCCTGTTTTTTCGTGGTGTTTTTTAAAATTCATTTTTAAAACTTTTCTCTTTTTCTGTTTTCAGAATTCATTTTCAGTTGCATTTCAATCCTTTTTACCCGTTCACGTTCGTCTTCATCCCCTTTGACCAGTGACAGGCATTCTGTTTGGCTACTCTCATACAGCCAGGGGGGCATACTGTAATTTTGTCTTTCGCCTTACTAATATGTAATAGACGAGGTGTTTCACCATTCTAGCATTGCTCATACTTCCAAATAACATGTTTCTAAGTAAGGTAGATCCTTGGAGGTCAGAGAAAGGGGCCAAAAAGGATCATAATCAGATATCCTTTTCACATGTTATTGAGATCTTGTCCTTGATTTCAGGTGTTGGATCAACCATTGGAGCAGGGGTGTACGTTCTTGTTGGAACAGTCGCTCGAGAACACTCGGGACCAGCTTTGACGATTTCCTTCCTGATCGCTGGCATAGCAGCTGCTCTTTCGGCCTTTTGTTATGCAGAGCTTGCCAGTCGTTGTCCATCTGCTGGAAGCGCCTATCATTATTCATACATTTGTGTTGGAGAAGGGTAATTGATTACACTAAAGCTTTGCTTTGTGGGACCCATCGTTCATGAGAGTTGGTGACGACTTTAAATTTTTATTTAACTTGTACTCGGCTCTCTATAATTTCACTAACTTCTTGGCATTGCCAGTGTTGCTTGGTTGATTGGCTGGGCTCTAATACTGGAATATACAATTGGAGGCTCAACTGTTGCTCGTGGGATCTCACCCAACTTGGTACTGTTTAAAATTCTTGCTGATAATTTTTTTTCCTAGCCTTTCTATTGGTCTAAATAACTTTCTCCAATGAAAGAAATTTGACTACCAGCATTAGTTAACGTGATTTCTATCTGGGATATTGTTATTATGTGTGATTTTTGTTGGCTAACTAAGTTGATGTACAGGAAAAGTCGCAGGGTCTAATGCTCCTCTCTCTTTAGGAAAGACTCATTCTGTCCAGCAGCTATAACAAATTATCCCAGCTTGTAGATTCTACCAGGTTCCATTGCTGTAGGGCTCTTCGATCCATTAGTGTACCCAACCTTGTGGTGATATCACTACTAAGGTAAACCCATCATCACGAAGATGGGGCTTACTCTGGTCGTGGCCGACTGATCTTGAGTTTGGTGACCCAATATTCTTCCTACGCTATGAGAGCTGAAGGCTGTTCTTGGGCTGCATGCACCTGATTTAATTGTTAATGTGGAGAAGTCCAAAAGCTGTCCCCTACTTAAGAGGGTGTGTTGAGAACGACCATTCATTCATTACTGCCAAGGTTAAGCCCTGTGACTATAAAGAGGGGCGCACACCACTGATGAGCGACTTGTTCATGTTTAAATGAATAAGGTACAGCGATACTTGCTTGGTATCGGTTAAATTGGTCGAGCCACTTGCTGCTGCATATCGAAAAATCACCTGCATCTTTCCCAAGAAGGGAAATCCTGTGAGGTTATTTGTTATATAGCTGCCCATAACATTATTCTCATCAGTATAGAAAACAAACAGGCTGCCTCCCCAGAGGGTAGTTTTGTCATGCTTCAAGGTCTCCTAATGAATGCTTACACTTGACTAGATCTTCCTGCTAACCAGCCAATGTTTGGGATATTTCAGGCGTTTTTCTTTGGAGGCCCAGATAGTTTGCCCTTTATTTTTGCCCGAGCTCATCTACCATGGCTCAATGTTGTGGTCGACCCCTGCGCTGCTTTCCTTGTCCTGGTGGTCACCGCTCTTTTATGCGTCGGAATAAAAGAGGTGATGCTCCCCTCCCCCACCCAGAGATCACTGCACCTGATTTCCATTGCTTCCATGGACCTGACCTTTGTTCTTCCTCCCCCCCCCTGCAGAGTTCTTTTGTGCAATCCATCGTCACAACTGCGAATGTCTTCGTCATGATATTTGTCATCATTGTTGGCGGATATCTCGGCTTCAAGACTGGCTGGAGAGGCTACTCTCTTTCCAATGGGTACTCTGAAACCGGACTCCTTCTGAGATTGTTCTTAGTTGTGTCCCCAAGTGTGGTGACTAATTCATCTGGGTTCCCAGGTACTTTCCTTTCGGTGTGGATGGCATGTTTGCTGGGGCTGCCACAGTTTTCTTCGCGTACATAGGCTTCGACTCTGTCGCCAGCACTGCTGAAGAGGTTTGCTGCGGATTTATTTCTCTACTAACCAATATGTGGCTATTTTAAGCACTGACTGTTGCTCGCGTTGCATGGTTAATTTTTTTTGGGAACTTCCCTCGTTTAATCATATGCAGGTGAAAGACCCTCAGCGTGATCTGCCATGGGGAATTGGATTGGCTCTGTCTACATGCTGCCTCCTGTACATGCTCGTGTCTGTCGTTATTGTCGGCTTGGTGCCTTATTTTGCCATGGATCCAGACACCCCCATCTCCTCTGCATTTGCCAGTCATGGGATGGAGTGGGCAGTGTGAGTCTCTTCTGCGTTTAACCCCGTGCTCATAATGCTCCATAGCACTGGCCGCCACACTGATCCCTAACTCTTATACGAATTTAGGTATGTGATCACAGCTGGCGCTGTTCTTGCGCTCTGTTCAACCCTGATGGGATCCATTCTACCTCAGGTATCCGACCAACCAGATCCTTTGGCTTTTCTAGTGTCTGGGTTTCCAATTTCCAATCTCTCTCTGCCTGTTCGACCAGCCAAGAATACTGATGGCGATGTCCAGAGACGGGCTGCTCCCGCCCTTCTTCTCAGATGTCAACAAGAAGACTCAGGTTCCAGTGAAGGGCACAATTATGACCGGAGCCTGTGCAGCGCTTTTAGCCTTCTTCATGGATGTTTCTCAGCTGGCAGGAATGGTGAGCGTGGGCACGCTTCTCGCCTTCACCACTGTGGCGGTATCCATCTTGATCCTGCGATATGTGCCTCCCGATGAGGTGCCGCTACCGTCAGAATTCCATGAATCCATCGAGTCGGTCTCATCCCGGTACAGTGGTAATGATCTCGAGGAGAAGGTCGAGAATGAGGGCACCTCCAGCAGCAGCGATCTCGAAGGATCTACTGACTTCCCTCTCATTGTGAAGGAAACCGATCAAGGTAATGGTCGGTGAATAATAACCACATTAATCTCTGTTCGACTGATTAGCCATTTGTCATGCTGCAGATAGGGTGAGCGAAGAACGACGGCGGAAGAAGGCGGCTGTCAGCATAGCTTCTGTGTGCATCGGAGCGGTCCTCCTTACTTCTGCAGCTTCCGCCGGATTCCTGCCCAGGTGAGTTGGGCTTGGGGAGTTTCTGTTCATGGTTCTGATTTGCTTTAAGAACGATTATTATCATAAAATGTTTTATGGTTGATCAGTGATTGTGCATTTTAATCTCTGGGTTGCCCAGTTTTCATCTATATGATATAAAAATAACCAGCTAGAATGGGATATTTGTTCTCTTTTAGGAAATTAATGATCGAGCCTTTGCTTGGGAGTTTCCTCATCATGAATCTGATTCATTTTGATAATAATTAACATCGTAAAGGATTTTATGGGTGATATGTGATTGTGTTTTCTGATCCCCTGATTACCCATTTTACTCTTAATCATTATATATCGGTTCTTTCTCCTTGAGAAAATTGACAACCAAGTGTTTACCTTCGCTAAAAAAGTTAGGACTTTCTCCTCCAAAGCCGGTGTTGTTAAAGAACTGTTTTTTTCTGTTTTCTTCCAGCCTTGTACGGTACACAGCATGTGCAGTCGGTGCATCGCTCCTGTTGGTTGGCCTCGCTGTGCTCTCTTGGATCGACCAAGACGATGCCCGCCACAGCTTTGGCCACGCAGGAGGTGAACTCTCCCTCGCTTCCTTTCTCTCTCTCTCTCTCCCCCTCTGTGTTCTCTCCCTTTCTCTCTCCTTCTGACTGTTAACGCATCATATGGTTGTCCACAGGGTTCACTTGCCCGTTTGTTCCTCTGCTGCCGATCTGCTCTATTCTCATCAACGTATACCTGCTCATAAATCTCGGGTGAGTTCCCAAAGATCACCGCCTATGTTCTTCCCCACCAGATGCCCCTTTCTTCTTCATTGGATCCACCAATCGAAGCTTTTCTCATCTTGGGCTCTGCCCTGAACCTCTTCCCCTTCTGCTCCCGCTCCCCTCAGCGGCAGCACATGGATGAGGGTCTCTGTGTGGCTGGTGATCGGAGTATTCGTGTACCTCTTCTACGGGCGGACGCATAGCTCGCTCATCAATGTGGTCTACGTGCCGACGGCTCACGCCGAAGAGATCTACAACCAGAGCTCCGAGGCCATTGCCTAGATTAGTTTCATTATCGTCATCATCATCGTCATTGCCATTATACGTGTAAATTATGCTTACCAAAGTGTATTTTAAAGCTGTTGGTCTACAAAATCTATCTTATTTGATTTTTTTTAATCTTTTTTTGCTTAATTCGGAAGCCCATGAGGCCCTTCCATGGATGTAAATAGAAAAATTCTGGGAGATACAAATGAGCTTGCACCAGAACTCTGTGTGCAGTAGTTGTTGAATCTCGTGGGTTAGAAGCAAAATCAGGCCGGGGAAATTTCGGCACATTTATTCGAATTAAATGGTGCAAATAATTGGAATGGTTGACCTGAGCAAGCCCAGTCCTTTGGCGTCCGACTAGGCAGATGAGGAGATGAATGCGAGCAGGGCGGGGAGGTACTCCAGAAAGAGGGTCAGCAGCCCCCCGAGGAAGAACATGAAGACGAATGCCAGTGCAATCCTGCCAATGTACCCCGGTGTGATGTGCCCGCCGCTTGGCTTCCGTGGGGCTCCGGCGTAGGCGGGATTCTGCAGAACAGAGGAGCTTGTTATGGCGGCGCCGCTGACCATGGCTGTGCCACATCATTCCCAATAAGCCCAGTGAAAAAAAACCTATTTTTCTTTAAGATGTCTTCCAAAAAAAAGCTTGCTGACTTTCCAATGGTGTTAAATAGGGAAACAGGGAAAGGATTCAAGAAATCATCAGCATTATACTTGTATTTCCGTAGTTTTTGTCTGAATTTCTGGTGGTAATTTGAGAAATGGGAGCTTTATAGCCTCAGATATTAGCAGGAAAATGTTCATAAATGTTGCAAAACTTAGCAAAGATAAATCTGAACACTGAACATACCGGTTGACCATCAAATGGTCTTGGTCCTGCCGCAGCCGCCGTTCTTCTTGCTTGTCCATGACCTTTTGCCATTAATAAGAGCAAGAATCTTCTGGGTCAACGCCCCTTCAGAGCACTTTTTTCCAAAATAAGAGGGGCCTTGTTCATCGCTCACCTTCGTCAAAGGCTGTCTGAAGGCTCCACCCTTGGCCACAGCCAACAAGGATGGCATCGGGGCCAAATCTGACTGGTTCTTCTCCATCTTTGACTCCCTCGATGCCCAGTCCCCGCGGAAGGCCAAGCTCCAGCTTCTGGTTCATCTGAAGCAGAGCATAACCTGCTCTTGTTCCAGGAGCGAAACGCCACACCTTTCCTGTGCTTCTGCATTTGATCTCCAGAAACTGCAGCAAGGGATTGCGGCGAAGTCAACTCTATATTAAGGTTGCACCTCAGAAAAACCCATCAAAACAAGGGCAGCGAGTGGGCATCTGAATACGGCGCTTGCTGATTTTCCTCATCTTCTTTTAATTGCAATCGTCTTATTTAGCAAAGTTTCAGATTGATTTTTGTGTATTCTTTCCTGAGCAGGATTTCTTTCACAAATGATTTCTCTCAGTCATGGATGATACATCTGGCAACCACACAAAACCATGAACAGGATTGCTGTTTCCGGCATGAATGAGACCAGTTCGTCGCTTTTTTCTGGGTTTCTTCTTTCATTTATATCTCATCTATACAAGGGGTTGACCCTGTGAGGACAACCCAAGCATGGATTCCTATCAGAGAATGCCCCTCAGACTCTTCTCTCTCCAGAAACCTCCTCTGAAGAACATCTACCTTCTCCAAGAGATGCCTCTTCCCCCGGATGAGCCCTGAGACTGATCGATATGGCCAGGAAGCTAAGTGAAGAAGTGGATGAATTCCCTACATCACCATGGGGCTGTAGAGAACCTTATGGTCAACGGCCTTCCATCTACTCTTAAAACTGTGCCTCTTCTACAAAGGAACTTACAGGTTTCAACTCCATTAAATCCGCACTTACTTAATGAAGGTGAGAAATGTCTTCCTTGACCTACGTTCTAAGGAAAGCCAGTCATTTTAAGACAAAAAAAGGTGTGTGTGTGGGGGGGTGAGATAATCATACCTAATATAGGAAGGACAAGGTAACCATAAAATTATGAGATGATTAGTGGAAACAATCAGCACTTCAGCCACAAAAGCAATGGGAACAGAGCGCTCTGCGGCTGTTAAGCTCAACTATTATTAGCCTTCACAACACTCCGATCAATACTTGAATTGGATGATGGAAATAGAAGGCAGCCTTAAAAGGGAAATTCTCAGCAAGTCTTGACCGACGACCTGGTTTCAGCGAAAATGCATGTTTAACAGTAGAAACAGGAAGAAAAGAGGACATTAGCATACCGGTGAAGGTCCTGGTGTCGTCGTCCCCCTTGATGTTCTTGCTTCCGCATGATCTAGAACCATAAGACAATGAGAATCTTTAGGAGCGTTGGCCCACCATTCCAGAGAGCTTCTTCTCCATGCCTACCTTCTTCCGTGATCGTCTGTAAGCTCCATCCCCGGCCGTAGTGAGCAAGAACAGCAGAAGGGCCGAAGCTGACGGGCTCTTCGCCTTCCTTCACGGCCTCAATGCGCAAACCCTGTGGAAGACCATTATCCAGCGTTTCGTTCATCCGATGCAGAGCCCATCCAGCCGCCGTTCCGGCGGCAAAGCGCCGCATTTTTCCCGAGCTTTTGCACAGAACCTCCAGAAACTGTGGATATGGTCACAAAATGAGGCACGGAATAGCCGATTAGATCCCGGAGGGTTGACTGGGCATCCGGGTTCTTACATTTTGAGGGAATCCCCTAGATTTCTTTATTGAAAGTCAAGCCGACAAGCAAAGAAAGACCCAACAGATGTATTCAAGTTCATCGCATCGACCGCTGTCCATACTATGAACATCGAGAGGAAGTATTCATCGGATTATCAGGTTTTTCATCCGTTGATTAAGGGATTGCCGCTCTGGAAAAGAGGGGCCAGAGAAAAGACAATAGGAAACGATGACAGTGAAAACACAATTCCGGGAAGAAACGGTAGACTCTGCAACCAAAAGAGGACGGGAAAAAAATCCACCATGCCAAGGAAGAAGAGAGCCATCACGCACAATCTTGGCCTCATTTGATCGAAAAGAGGACGGGAGAAAGGGTAGTTCCTACCTGTGCGCGTGGTGGAAGAAACGAGGAGCTGAGGATCTCCTCCTCCTGCTTCTCGGCGGCCATAAAGATCAGAGGCTCCCGCAGCTCGGACCCGAACCCTTTGCTCACCCTGAATCTAAAAGTAAGAACGAATCTTTCTCTTCTCTCTGTACTTTGTAGTATTTATTCCTCCAAACGGTTGACTTTTAGAGAATCATGTGGGCACACATTTCCAGGGGAGGGAGAAGACCTCTTGAGATAGTACTACGGCGGCGGAGGTTCGCTCAAGGAAAGCCCTTCCCGAGCAGGTATCTTTAGGAAGGTACGGCGATTGGAAGATCCGAGTTTTGTGCGGCTTACCCGACCTTAGCCGTCACGACTGGATGGGTCAAAGGGTCTTTGTGGACCCTCCGATTCAGCCGGGTGAATACGATTCCAATCTGGATCGGAGATTCAAATCGGCCGCGATTCTGGCCGGAAGAACAAGGAGGCGTTTGGCATGATTTCATGTGTAACACAATCTCTCAAGAGTTCATACTTTTTTTGAGGGTGATATTTGTGATTATCCAGGCCAATAGCTCCTCAAATATAGTCATATCTTATAGTGTGGCAATAGATAAACGTATATAAATATTTGTACATCAATGTGTATATTGGTATCGACACCCATATGTAAATATATTGGCAGTGGATGCACATGTATAAAGCTCAACTTCATGCTTTTACTAGTTCACTTACCTTCACTCTTTTTCTAATGTAATATCTTCGTATTTTTTAGTTCTGATTTATTTGTCATGTAGCATTCTCTAGGAATTTATAACCTCTATCTTCCTGGTGTAGACTCATATATTTGGAAGCTATAATTTTCGGTTTTCTTTAGGATACAATGTAAGGTATGAGATCTACGTCCTGCACAAAAATGTTCGGAGTTTATCACTTGAACTGTGGTAAGCATCATGTCAAACATCATGTAAAAGTTTTCCACTTATCACAAATTGGTTGATACAATGATAAATGTGAATAGCTAATTCTAGTATTAGTCCAAAAACTTTGAGTTTGAAGAGCTATTAATTTTCCATATGTGAAGATTGTGGTAGAGTAGTCTCACAAAAAATAATCTCAAAACAAACCTATTTACATAAAGGATTGACCATACTCCTTGCATAGTGGAAAGATATTCAAACAACAAATACACAGAGAGTAAAGAGAAAGATACATTACATTTAATTGCCACAAGTGGTAGCCCCCCCCTCCTCCCCTTCTTGTACCATGGGGTTAGGGAAACACATAAGAATAAATTATAATAATACCCCTAGTACAGAATTTTGCTAGAGGGGGTGTTGCGCCATTGATAACCCTTGCTATGGGGCGGAGCGCTAATCCCTATTCCCCCACTACCAACTCTTATTCTTGGTACATGAGGTGTCGCTCCCATTGATAACCCCTGCTAAAGGAAGAGCGCTAACGCTTAGACCCCATTACCAACTCAATAGGAATTTGGATCCGTGTACTCATTGTAAACCCAAATCTAGTTATTCTTCACATAGCTCCACAATGTTGAATGATCCAATTAATTGAACAAATGTGGCTATGTTTAAAAATTCACATTCAATAGCCTACGTAAGGTTTGTTCTTGTTGAGGTTCACAATCTCCATGCAGTTAAGCTTTCGAGTTCTCTTAATAAAAGCAGTCTCATTCGGCCTGAACCTTTATTGCTACAATGACAAATCTCATTTCCATTCTTACCAATTGAGTCGTGAAAATTGGCAACTCTCTCTCGTTCTCGCTATTCATACTTTACTTATTTGATATTTTGCATGCGTTACATGTTCCCACGCCTTCCTTGTTTACTATAATAGTTCGAGGATCTTGTTCGACAAGAACAGGATCATTGAAACGTTAAGTTCGATAGAAAAGGACTTCTCATGGAGAAAAGACCATCTGCTAAGGCAACGGGAAGAGTAGGAGGTTTACTGCTTCCGGCTGAAGACCTCGTCGATGAAGGCGGAAGGGTCCTGACTGTCTCCTTCATCGCCGTCATCTGCGTGGCAAGGTTGGCAGCGGAGGATCGGTCCCGAGGGACGAGGAGCTGCGGCGGGGCCGCCGAAATGGAGGCTGCTGAAGTCGGCGAGTTTATTGGAGGCAGAAGAATTATTCGAGTAGGCCGGCTGAAGGGCGTGTAAGACGTGGGAGCCACGGGCAGCGCTCTCGGCGACGAGCCTGGTGTTCAAGAGCTGCATCTGCACCATGGAAAGCTCCGCGTGGAGAGCCGCAACCTGAAGCAACTCAGAACAGGATAAAAACATTACAAAGGTAGACAGATCGATAGATTGATACAGAGAGAGCGCGCGAAAGAGCGCGCGCGCGCGCGCGAGAGAGAGAGAGAGAGAGAGAGAGAGAGAGAGTGAGCCGTAGTAACCTGCTGCTGGAGCGCGAGGATGGTGGACACGCAGCCGTAGACGGGATCTGACAGGCGGGCCTGCGCCTCATAGCAGACGGTGGCCACGGCCTCTCCACGGCGTGCTGTCGGCACGGCCATGAGCTGTTTGGAGACGTTGCTCGCCCCGAACACCTTGTGCACCGCCGCGAATCTCGCCGCTCCCTGTTCCGATCCGAAGTGTGGAGCGAACACGCAGCCCTTCACGCACTTTCGCCGCAGGGACTTGCAGGCCCCGCACGGCGGCGGCGCCTCGACCGCGGGCTGAGCAGAGCGGCCGCCACGGGGTGAGCGGCGGGGTCGCCTCACCGCCGTCTCCTCGTCTCCCATAATTTTACTGCGGGTTACCCAGCGGGGCGTCCTCTTGGGGACTTGATCGTCGTTCCCGGGGATGTGGACCCCATCCTGTGCGTGCTCCTCCATGAGGTAGGTGGAGCGTGGATGTTGATGGAGCTCGTGTTAGCCGGGCCTTCAAGAGCGAGCGCACACTAGTCTTGTGAGGGAAAGAAGACAAGGTTATCATACTCTATTAGGTAGAGAGAGAGAGAGAGGTTTGGTTAACTTGTTAGCCGCTGGGAAGTTATCTGGAGACTCGGAGAAAGCTCGTGGATGGGGGTAGTTAGTGACATGCAAAATAAGCATGGCCTTGCCCTTTCAAGAGTTCTACTCCACTTCTCTCATTTCCTACACAACTGATGTAAATAAAAATTTCTTTGCTAGAGAGCGAGAGATAGATAGAGAAATACAAATCCTTTTGCTTTATAAATAATAATAACAGTGTCTGATTAAGTTGTGACAATAAATCCCTCCATTTTGGGGCATTGTCATTATCCAAAATATATTTCCTTTATTAAATACAAAAAAGTGATCATTAGCTGATTTTCATTGATCTTTAACTTTTTAATTTTTTATGAATTTAGTATTAGCTAAAGGTGCCATTCAAGAATCCTACGCTTCTTTTATTTCCAAAAGATCTGAAATAGCCATCTGATGAAAACTGGAAAATTTTCTAAGAGAGATAATAAAAAGTTTTTTAGTTGTAAAAAAGAACAAAGATTTTGGCAAAACTTTGAGATACCAACATCCTCATTTCAAGACCTTGTCATTATTTAATAACCTATTTATTTTATTAATAACAAAAAAGTTCAACATTAGCAAATTTTCATTGATCTTTACCTTTTAGAGCTGTTTATGATTTTTTTTTTAAGCTAAAGGTACAACTTCCTATCTTCAAATCTTTGTACTATATTACAACCCACATGGTGTATAGAACCATCAAAAGATGGTAAATTAGGGAAACATGCGGAACAATATTTTATTTTTGTTCTTCAATGGTAAATGCATTTTATTCAATGGAAAATTTTAATAAGGTGAATTTATGGAAAACAAGAGGATACAACATTGAAGTAATATAATACCCAAAAATGTTATGACACTCATAAGGTGAAAAATTCTATGGTGAATGATATGGTTTGTATTTGGGAGAGCGATCATAAATATATGTGGCACACCCTCCTTTCAAAGGATAACTAAATGCTTAATTCCTTATCTTTAGCTCATTATTGACATATAATTAGAAGCATTTTCACTCCCTAGTTATATTTGTACAATCTTATACAATTTTTTTCTGATAAATTCTGAAAGTATTAGTTGAACATTGATACAATCTTAGAATAAAAATAGAGATGAAACCATGATTTGTAGGATTATTGATGTCAAATTTAGAGAGATTCATTAAGTTTTAGTTCTCTTTAATAAATTAATCATTGTTACTGATGGAGATTAAGGATTTAGCATTGAGTTATGAAGAATGCAAGTAATAAAGTGTGTTCAAGTGAATTATACTTGAGTTAGATGACTTAAGGGTCAAGTGTGACCTTTTCTATCAATACAAAAAATTGTCTCAAATTGTGATATACTTTCTTGGAGTGATATACAAAAAGCTCTCACATTGTGTGACCCAAGGACTATGGCCTCTTAGATAGATAGGAGGGAGTTATTACAGTTTGTCTTTTTTTAATTTTATCAACTATAAAAGTGAAATAATATCCAGTCTTTATGTATAATTACACATATACACGTACTTATGTGTGTTATCTTATTTTCAAATACTCAATATTTAGTGAGTCACTTTACTTAAGATTAATCTTAATGATAGTTATATAATATTAAATTCATATTTATGTGTCTATATTGAGATAAATCTAGCAATGTTCTACTTGGACAAGGAATACATAATTTCTTAACATTATAAAGTATGACATTATGAACTCAATAAATTTGATATCACTACCTAAATAATATTCAGCAATCTCATCCATCATTATAATAGTATACCTATATATTGATATAATAATGATATAGATCAACATAGTTCTCTACTATGAAAATTATATCTAATGTAATTCATATATGTACATTTTCAATTAGTTTACCTTATTCTTTATTGCAATCAATGAAATACATTCAAAGTGAAAAATAATCACAAATTGTATTTCTGTAATAAATAGTCATGTTATATTTATAATTGTAAGAGCATAAAAATAGATACTCTTACTAAAATTAAATATTCTTATGAGAAATTACATCAATATTAATAGTTTATTCATGTAAGATCTTTGATGCTGGTTCCTTAGTAGGTAGATCTACTATTATGGTGTTTATCCTATAATGTCTAATCCTTTAGGTAGTCATAAAAACTAATATCTTTATATTCATAATTAGTTAACTTTTATCATTATTAGAATACATAATGATCAACTTGCTATCACAAATATCTTTAATAGTCGTTTAATTGTATCTAGAATTAGTCATCCTATGATAAAATTTTACAACCATATTCTATGATTGGATTTCTCATAACATTTTATAAGCTCCAATGTCATGGTAGAAAAAGTTATAAATGTCTGCTTAACAATCTTTTTTTGAATAGTCTTTTCGATTAGTAAGTAGATATAATATGTCACAGATTTTGTATTATCAATATATTAAGTAAAATTAAATTTAGAATAACTAATGATCTCTAATTGATAGGATGTTATATGAGCATTTAGTACTTTATTTCCTATACATATCATGACATTTTTGGTCATCTTTTAGTTTTCCAATCTTATATAGCTCAAAGATGTAACAATTTGGGGTAGCTATCCAAGGAAAAACTAAGACACAATCATGTGAAGTGTGCTTTCTTATTTTTGTACACAATTGTGTAATTTTGAGCAAGAACTAGAGGAGGGCATCAAAACTAAGATGAAATAGAGAGGATGTTGTGCATATTGGTCCATTGGTCCATTCAAGTGAACCCCTTGGATTGTTTGTCCATAAGTAATGTCATAGAGATGGTAGATGATATGGATCAAGGAAACAAGACATCCTCTATGTCATCAACTTATTGAGTTAGACTCACTAAGGCAGTTTTCATTCTTAATTTTTTTTATTTTATTTAAGGAGAAAATGATTATAAATAACCTCTTTTAGTCATAAAAATAGTACAAAGAGAAGATGAAGATTATTTGAGGGTTATACGACTTATTTCTCTACAGTGAGAGATCATGAGAGTCATTCACACTACAAGAAGAGGCTATGAGTATCATTAATTCTACAAGGAGAGGTTGTGAGGGTCATTTTCTCTATAAGAAGAGGTTGTAAGGGTCAATTGTCCAATGTGACTAATGTTGTATGTTACCATCATTGTCTACTACAACAATCTTCTATCCTAATATCATCTGCCCACACTTGCCACCATCCTCCATCCATTACTTCTTGTTCTTCGTCCATCCTCATCCTCATCTATTGCTATCACTCTTGTCTATAGCATCAACCTTTGTCATTCTCCACCACATGTCTTCACCATCGGCTTGATCTAGTGCCATCACCATCAATCCTACCACTAGTGTTTGTAGCAACCATAGTGCAATGTTGCATCCTTGTTGATGTTTCACAACTAGAAGCAAAAACCCCAATACTCCACTACCCTCAGTACAACCATTCCATTCCATTACCTATTTTGCCACCACTTGCTCTATCTACTTCAAATAATTTCTAGTTCCTATCCCACTTATTTGAGTTAAAGTCCCATCAATTTGTGAGTCTAGAACAGTTAGGACTGAACCATCCCAATCTTATGATAGTTGAGTCAACTTAGTTCCCCTAGGCCTAACTTGGCCTAAATAAACTAGATCCAAGTCAGCCCAAAACTACCAACTCAAAGCAATACAAATACATTAGGTGAATTGGCTAATCTCACAAGATGACTTACTCTATTGGTCAAAATAGTTAATAGTAAAGCAACCAATAGTTAATATTTTAGTCAACTTTTAATTTTACAATCAACAACCAATGCTATGAAAATTTCAATAATTTAAAGATAACCTTGTCATCTACTTCAGCAACAAGGTTATCTTAAAATTTTCTTTCTATCTAGATTGAGTATCTTATCCTAAAAAATTACTTTTTATCTCATCCCTAGATAAGTCATTTTATTTCTATAGTTGTTGGTGAATGTAGAGTTAGAACCTAATTGGTTTGATGCTAATCAAAGCATCCTATGTTGACGCCCTTGATTTTAATGCTATAAGTGAAAATTTATTTACTAATTATTTATTGAATATTCAATGGATATCATAAGAACCTATATTAAAAGTTTAATATTTTTGAAAATTATACAATTTGTATATTCATGATGCTTGAGTAATCATATAATTAACAAAGGAATCTGAGTTATTCCTTGAGATATTTTAAAGTTGAATTCAATATAACATTATAGAATTCATATATAAGCACAAAACATTAACTATCAATGCATGCAATGAAGTATATAAAAAAATTAAAATATCAAAGTCACCAATATGATTTAAATTTAGAACCTAGCCAACATTTAGTTGGTAGCCTTAGTGACTAAAATGTCTAAAAATCATGAAGAAACAAAGTCACAAGTAAGATTCGAACCTAGAACTTGAACAATAGAAAGGCAAAAGTTTTAAAAATAAAAATGTCTAAAATCACAAACAAACAAAGACACCAACATAATTCATTAGAATGCCCTTTTCAATCTTTGTCATCCTCAGAATCTTTCAAGAGGAAAATATTTTCAACAGCATCATCGAGAAGTTCCTATGAAATTAAACATGCTCATTCTGGTGATGTACACCAAAATTGAGATTCTTATAATCACGGATCACTTTTGGAATAAAATAGACTAAAGGTACTTTGGTTCTATCTTCAAAGGTAAACTTCATGGGGGGTACTTGGTGGCATTGAAGATGCTCAATGACACAAAGTTCAATGGAGAAGAGTTCATCAATGATGTCTCCATAGTTGGTCGGATTCACCACATTAACATTCTATAACTCACTAGATACTGCTCCAATTTATGACTACATGAAAAATGACACACTAAACAACTATGTTTGTCTAGGAAATGGGACAGGTACATCTACTCACTTAGGAGAAGCTGAATGAGATAACTAGTCAACATTTGGGGAGTGGAATATTTCCATTGAGGCTATAACATGTGCATTCTGCATACGATATCAAGTCCCACAATATCCTTCTCAATCATGATTTCGAGCTTGTGAAACTGTACCTAAAGAGTAGAGCTTAGTGTTTACACGTGCTGCAAGAGGGATGATGGGCTACAATGTGCCATGTTGGATGTAAATAACTTTGGGATGCTGTTGTTAGAGGTAGCTGGTGCAAAAAACAACTTGGAAGTGGTCGTAGGGAAGTCCAGCAAAGTGTTCCTTTCATTCTGGGCATACAATCTATCTAAGTGATGTCTAGAAGAAGGTATTGATGTCATGATTGGTGAAATAGGGAGAACATTATGCTTAGTTGGCCTTTAGTGCATTTAGACAAACCCCCGTTGGATAATCCCTCCATGAGCATAGTCGTGGAGATGTTGGAAAGAGGAAAAAAAATTGAATTGTCTATTAAACTATTTTTCCATTCATCTCAGAGTTCATTTGCCAGAGGATCTACTTTTGACTAATTTTCAGTGGAATTGTCAGAAATTTGCAACTAAACTTCCATGTGTAATGTATTGGTTCCAAAGTGGCTTTGTTCTATTTTTTCTTTTCTTTCGGCCAATGATAGGTGTCATTAGAGATTGCACATGCATTGAAATCTTAACTAATTAGATGAGGAGTACTAGTGGGTTGGAACCATTTTACTCCAAATCATTTTCCATGAAATTTCCTACTGATTCATCTCACATCCCACCATGCTACAAAATTAGTTAAGAAAGGTGAGTTCCTTTCATGGAGCTTTGACATTTGGCCAATAAAATTGGCGTAAAATTTAGTTTACCATTGAGGTTCTACTTAAGGAAAATATAGTAAAACTTGTTGTAAATATTTTTAATGATTTTCTATAGTATTATCTTTAAATTTAGAATATTTATTTATAACTAGAGTAGGCATGTAGAATAAATTGCCAAATATTCATCACATTATTATTATAAGATCGACTATTCATTGGTTGTGCGATGGGACTAGACCACTTCTAAAGTAGTAAAGTATTTCAGAATTAAAACTCATAAAATATTTGGAATAGAATTAAAGAAAAAAGATCAAAGGTCATAGGAATAGCTGAAAAATGTCAAATAATTAATATCCAATTAATTCAACCATTAGTTCGTGATCTACATACATGTTAAAATCCAATAGATCTAGTCAAAAGTGGATATCTAAAAAACTTGTCCAGCCCCTTTGTATAAAGGATGTTAGAAGAGGTTTGAGCAGAAATATTAGAGATAGAGAGAGATAGAAAGAGATAAAGAGATAGAGAGTTCAAAATAGGAAAAAACCTTTTTTTCTCTAATAATAGATATTGGGTTCCAATGTCTCTTGACTTATAGACTTGATTAGAGTTATTTTCCCCTCCATTTACTACTATATTTCATCCCTCATTTAAGTAAATATTCTTGGCTTTTAATGGTTATGAGAGGTGTTGTAACCTCTCATTACAACATTAAATCTGTTACTTTGTAGATATTATTATCCCATGCTCTTTTCACTATAATACAAAGTCATAACATTTAAGTACACTGACCCAACAACATGTACCATTCACTATAATATTAATAAATTGGGCCCATGACATTTATGTTTTGTGTTGACTATTCTCATCTTTTATATAAAGCTTTGATATGAGACTAGGTGTTGTTGACAGTATCTTCATCTTTTTCATGATCTTCAAGCACTGTCACATGTTCTTTAATTCTCATGACAAGATTCTGAATCAAGGCATACAACTTATATTTACAAAATTAAATTTATGCTGTGCATTTTGTAGGTAAACATGTTGTACTGATCATAGGTAGGTGCTAGCCAAAGGCCATCTTTATCTAATTGGGTGCCTTCTCCCCCCTTTTGTTTTCTTTTTTGCATAGCCTTTGCCTTTGCCAATCTAAACATGTAGGTCATCTATGTTTGGACAAGACACTTGGGACTGTCTCCTGTAAGGGTAAAAGTTTGAACAAGACCTCAAACTGTTGGGCCAAGTTCTTTAATGGATGATTACTTTCTAAGTGCCCTTTCTCTCTGAGATCACCCATTTCAATTCATTCAGGCTGCATCTTCGTCATTTATGGTTGCAATCGTGGTTGTGGTTCTCTAGGTCATTCGAAACTCCAGCAAAGTAGAGAAGACATGTCGTAAGGTGGAGCAATTCCGCAAACTATAGGAGTACTAAGCCCACCAGCTATAGCTACGGTGATATTATGAAGATAATAAAGAGATTTAGGCATAAGTTAAGCCAAGGAGGATTTGGGAGCGTGTATCGAGGAGAGCTTCCCAACGGAGTCCCAATTGTAGTAAAGATGCTTCACAAGTATCTGGGGGACATGAATTTATCAACGAAATGGCCACGACTAGCAGGATTTATCACGCCAATATTGTTAAGCTTTTGGGTTTTTACTTGGAGGGCTTAAGAAGAGCACGTATTTATGAGTTCATGCCAAATTAGTCGCTGGAGAAGTTGATCTTTTCAAAGGATGAAACAAATTGTAAGTCTTTGACCTTTAAAGAGCTGGAAGAAATCACTATCTGGTTACCTGCACCAAGGTTGCAACAAACGCATCCTTCACTTTGATATCAAGGCTCACAATATCCTTTTGGGTCCCCATTTAAACCCAAAAATTTCAGATTTTGGGCTTACCAAACTATGTTCAAAGGATTACAGCAGGGTGACCGTGACAATGGTCAAAGGAACGATGGGCTACATTGCACTAGAAATGTACTCCATAAACTTTGGTACAGTCTCGTATAAATCAGATTAGACTCCATACTTGGAAATGATAAGTGGGAGGAAGACCATAGACCCAAGTATGGAGACAAATAGCCAAGTCCATGTTCCTGAACAGATTTACGGTCATCTAGTTAGGGACGAGGAGCTTCCATCCATCTTGGGCTTCAAGGGGGATCAAGAGATTGCCAGGAAGCTCACTATTGTGGGCCTTTGGTGTATATGGTGGAAACCCAATGATCGACCTTCGATGATGACAATCGTCCAAATGCTCCCAGTAAGCTCTCAAAGCATTTGGATTCCACCAACTCCTTTCGTCTCCTTCTGTGCTCTAGGAGACATTACAAACTTGTCACAAGGGAACTTGTAAACTCGAAGCTCCTGTCGTCTTTAGGATTCTTTCTTGCTTTCTCCAATCTAATCGAGTAACATGAGAATCCTCACAGTATTCTCTCATTTGATTATCTAGTATAAAACCGACTCAGAAGGTCATATTCTCTATGATTGGGCTTTAGAAGACATAAAGAAATGCTAGTTATGTTTTTAAGAGAATATTAAAAGAATTAAACATGATTTTCTTCACAACTTGGCAAGAGTTTTTTATTCTGGGGGAGGGTGATTGCATGAAAATATGTTCTAATAATTTTGAATGACATTACATCTTCAATATCTTCTCCCAGTTATGTTTAAGAAGCTTAAACACTTACATAGAGGATTGTTGTCTTTTACTACAATGGTGGGAAGATTAACTTAGGGATATCCTTGAGCAACGATATATTTAGATTAGTTTGTGGCAGCAATTATGAAGACCTGAAGAAATGGATGGAAATGACTAAGTTGGGGATATATGATCCCAATTTCATGGCATCTATATTGTACAATTAATTATGAGCTTTTAAATAGGGATGAACTTCTTACAAAATGTGTCCTTGATGGTAGGCAATAGGCTAGTCTGAACATGACTTTTTAATGTCTGACATAATTCAAACATCACCATCGATCTAACTAATGGATTAATTAATGAGTATGACAAGAGCCAAAGATGGGCCAACTAGATAGTAGGAACAATCTCTTTGCCCCCATTAATGTTCACTTGATGTGGTCAACCCATTGAGATAAGTCTGCTTGAATCTCTATTTCTTCCCTTTATTTCTTAGAGAAGGTTAATACATTAATTATTGGATAAAGATGTGACTAGTGATAGTTCAAGTGGACAATAATTTAAAGGTCTTATTACTAGAGTATCTACATAAGGAGACCAATGTAAGGCAAATAGAAGATAGACTAGATCTAAATTTATAAGAAAAAATAAATTCTGAAATTATTATTACAAGAACATACTAAAAAGAAAACATTAATCAAAAGAAAAGAAAGAGCCTCATCAAGTTGCAAGTTCATTAGAAGCTACAATTGCCTAAAAGAGTGGTGATTATGCTATCTTTGTCCAAGCCATCAGGTCCAAAGATAATTGGATATATGATTTAGACTAATACCATATGATTTTGAATAAGGATTTTTTCTTAAAATATGAGAAAATCAATAGTGAAGTTGTTTGAAATGGGAATGATATCTCATATAAATGTATCATGACATATGAGAACACAGGGAAATCTAGTATGTCCTTCATTTAAAGAAAAATCACATCATTTCTAAAGTCATGATGCTGATGTCGTACATCTTGATCTGTATTATACTTATTCTTGCTACATCAATAGTGTTGTCATCACCCAATGTCATAGTACTTTTACTTATTGATGTGTAAGTAGAAAATCAATCCTTGTGAGGACACATTTAGTAAGTACACCTTGTATTAAGAATTCAGTCATCATTATAAGATATAGTAGAAATTAACAAAACAATTTCACCAAGGTCAATTTCCTCTTGAATGATGTTTATTATATTAGAAAACTCCTTCCACTCAGTTAGAAGTTTTCTTTGCCCATCAATGCCTTACTTATCTCTTGATGTATCAATAATGACTTCATCTTACATCACCAAATGTTGAAATCTTTTATTCTCTCATAGAATATTTCTACATCGAACTTCATTGATGATGTACTCTTGACTAGCATCAACAATGAACACAAAAAATTGATGTCAGAATCTGACTATGATACTAATTTGTTAGAGCAAGACATCTTATATGGACTTCAGTAGAAGCAATGGTCATGACGTGAAAGAATGTAGAAGAAAAAACAACTCACAACAAGAGCATTGACATAAAGATTTTATGTGGTTTGAAGGTTGGCCTCTTACGTTCATAGGTGACAGCGAAAGCTCTACTAGATGTGAAAAGTAGTACAAGAGAATCACTCTTCAAGAACCCAAAGAAAAAATCTCTGATCTTGACCTTTTAAGATCCCAAAGAACAGATCCTTAATCTTAGCCCTCTAATGCACTCATCAAATCCAAGAGATCTTCCTTGAAAACTCTCTCCCAAACACTCTCTCTATGGTAGAACAAAGGCAGAAGAGAGTTGCTCTGTGTTACTCCAAATGAGGAGAGGTGACCCTCTATTTATAGGCACCTTTCAGCCACCTTGGTAACCGTGCTAGTAAGAACCTCAGGAATGTGCCAAACAATTTCTCTTTCTTGAGAATCGGTCTTCTGGTTGACCGTTTCTCCCTCACACTTCCTGGCACTTCAAAACAGTACGCCTGTACTATTTTGGTCCCTAGTTATCTTGCCCTTCTATACCTTAAACTGTTTAACGCCTGCTGATTAATTTCACAATCTTTTTGTAGGACTATCGCTGCTGGGAAGACTCATTGGGATGCCCCTGTGCATCTTCGTCTCTCTCCTTAGAAACTTTCAACAGGAGCATGCTTTCGTCAACATCGTCCAGAAGCTCCTCCAAAATCAGAACATGCTCACGCCGGCGAGGTACAGCTATCCTGAGATTCTTATCATCACCAATCACTTTGAGAAGAAACTGGGACAGGGTGGCTTTGGTTCCGTCTTCCTAGTTAAACTTCCCCCGGGGTACCTGGTGGCAGTGAAGTTGTTCAATGACTCGAAGTTCAACGGTGAAGACTTCATCAATGAAGTGTCCACCATTGGTCGGATTCACCACATCAACGTGATGCGACTCATCTGATACTGCTCAGAAGGACGGAGGCGAGCTCTAGTTTACGAGTACATGCCAAATGGCTCACTGGATAAGTACGTCTGTCCAGGGAAGGACACGGGGCCCTCACTCACATGGGAGAAGCTGAATGAGATAGCACTGGGCGTAGCTCGAAGAGTGGAATATCTCCATCGAGGCTGCGACATGTGCATTCTGCACTTCGACATCAAGCCCCACAATATCCTTCTCGATCATGACTTCACTCCCAAGGTTGCCGATTTCGGCCTTGCGAAGTTGTACCCTAAGGAGCAGAGCTTAGTGTCCGTGAGTGCTGCGAGAGGAACGATGGGCTACATTGCCCCAGAGCTCGTCTCCAGGGACTTCGGGCAAATATCCTACAAGTCGGATGTGTATAGTTTCGGGATGCTGCTGTTAGAGGTAGCTGGTGCAATAAAGAACTTGGAAGCGGTCACAGGGAAGTCCAGTGAAGCGTACTTTCCGGATTGGGTATACGATCGTCTGACGGAGGAACGAGAACTAGAAGATGGTGTCGACGGGAAGATGGGTGAAATAGAGAGGACGCTGTACATCGTGGGGCTTTGGTGCATTCAGATGAACCCCTCGGATCGTCCCTCCATGAGCAGCGTCGTGGAGATGCTGGAAGCAAGAACACCGGACCTAAAAATGCCCGCCAAACCATTCTTCCCTTCGTCTGAGAATTCGTTCGCTGGAGGATCTACCGTTGATTCCTTTTCAGCGGAATTGCCATCAATGTCGGAGGAAGGAAGTTCCAACATGTAGAATGCACTGTTTCCAGCACACCTTTGGATCTGTTCCCTCGTCTTAGGCAGATGGTCTGCATTAGCACTGTTTCGCATCAAAGTTTGTACCGGTTCATCTCAGCTCTCTCTATGCTGTAAAATAAGATAAGAACATTCAGCTCCTTTCAGGGCCGCTTTGATTTCATCAGGCCAATGAAAACCTTTTTTACTCCTAATTACTTTCTTATACGCAATCTTTATTTTTTGAAAGCTTTTTTGTAACCTAAAAAGGACCCAGAACAGGAGGAAAACATGAGACTACGCTCTTGGAGAACAGTAATAACTTACTATTGGAGCAGCGAGGATGTGGAATGAGAGATGCCTACGCTAATCTTAGAGAAATAACCTAATTGACTCTCACTTTAGTTTATAGTGAAAGAAAGTTGACTAAGACAAGAGTGACTATTTTCTTTCAAGAATTGAAACGGATTGGGTCGATGCGATTAAGAAATTCTCAGAAAAATTTGAGTGGTCAACTGACAAGAGTGACAAGAGTCGACTCGCTGCATATTAAGTGGGTTTTCTGTCTACACTCATTACTAGTTATGGGAATAAGTGGACTTATCTAAGAATCGCATAATGACAGATTTGCAAGATAATATACTAAATGAACAAAAATGTTTATAACCTTGTTTCGGAAATGGACGAATGGCAGTGGAGGAGCACGCGTAGAAGGTGGCCCCTTGACAGAATATTGGCCATCGACTGAAGCGTGGACCATTGACTTGCTGAGCGTCAACTTACTGACTGTTGATTGCGATGACTAATGGAGTCGATCGGTGGTTTGCTCCGGCGGTGTTAGGTAGTTCACCTGACGGATCCGGGCTAGTTTGGGCCGGCATTTCTAGGCCTGGTCTGGTTGGTGGTTCCACTGGATTGGGTCGGCATATCCTGGTTGACTCCGACCCGGTAGATCCGGACTGGTTATGGCCGGCGACTCGAGGCCAACTCGTGTCTGACTGAACTGAGCCCGTTCGTTTCTAGTGGTTTAGGAGTCATGAACCAGTAAGGATTTAACCCGAACCGGTGGGACGAGGACGGGAAATCGTCCGGAACGGGCTATGCGGGCAGCGGGATAGACAGAGGGGCGCCTGAGCGGCGGGTGATAGTTCCGGCGGTGGAACACCGGTGAGGATGCGTCGGCGCTGGTACAGTAACTATAAATGGGGGCGGCAGGGCTCGCGACGGTGGAAATGGCTCGAGACGGCGACGAAGACACAAATCGAGACCTAGGTATCGTTGGCGGTGGTGGACGATGGCAGTGGTCGATGGCTGCGGTGGAAACTGCGGTGGTAGATGGCGACGGTGGTGGATGGTGGATGGACTGAGGAGGGAGAATGATCATGTTCGTAGTAAAATATCTTTACAAAGTCTGGTCGTTAGAAGTTCAAGCCTACTCCGTGCATTAAACTGTAATGTTTGGTTGTTCATAACAAGCAAAAGCACTATACCTCAATGTTTAGTTGGAAACTTATATTACAACTCGTATAATATACATGATGAAGAAACTAATCTAATTCTTGTCAGTTCAAAGTTCTTATCTATGGACTGAATGAAAATCTATAATATCTAATGATTATAACCTAGAACCCACAATCAAAAAAATATTGAGACATTGATGTTTAGTTTAACCTTCGTTTAAACTTTGAGTGCTCCCCATCATCAAAACAAATATTCAACATGAGGTAAGCCCATAGCCCTTATTATGTCTTTCGTCTAAAGTTTCATTGACCACTAGAGCAACTAGACTAATAGCTGTTTGGTTAACTTGGTCAACTCATTTGAGAGGTCCTCCCCAACCTTTCCCCTCCCCTTTTGTTTTATTTGGCTGGTTTTAGCTAGGAAACCAGCCCTTTCCCTTTGTGAAGCAGATGTTAAGAGGGGGCTCAGAGAGAGAGGGAATTTACTACTGTATTTTGTTCCTCATTTCAGTGGAAATTTTATTCTTTCAATGGTTGAGAAAATGCGTCAATCTTTTTGTACCACATTAAATCGTGGTGCCGTTTTCTTCTCATTTATTCTTCCCTTTATCATTTATTACGTTGTGGACATTATTAATTTATGATCCTTCCGCCGCCATAGCAGGCAAAATTATTCAGGCCCATTAACCCAACAATATTCTCTACTCACTATAATATTAATAACTTGAGGCGCACTAGTTCCCGGTTTTGCGCTGATCATGCTCATATTTTACATTAAAATTTGGTAAGGCTCTAGGGGTTGTGGAACTTTTATTCTTCCTTTGCATTGTGCAAATAACGCATTTAATAAGTACCATCGATATAAGATCAATGAAATGGGGCTTACCAGTTCAAACTTTCTCGTTGACTATTCTCATCTTTTATATGAAACTTGATGTGGCACTAGGTGTTATGGGCCTCATCTTCTTCCTTTGCATTGCGCCATGTCTTCCCTCCTCTGCATCCTTCTCCTTTGTGTGGGGATGGTGGCTGTGCAGGCCTCGCCTATGCCAGACGTCGCCTTCTTCAGGGAGTTCCCGCCATCCAGAAGCAGTGCTCACGGCCCGGAAATCAGATACCCTCTCCGGATCAATACTAGATCCCCTTTATGTCGTGCAGTTGCTCCGAAACTCTATTGTCCCGATAATGACACCGCTGTCCAGGATTTATCAGTGGGAAATTTCGAAGTGACGGGAGTCGACTACACTTCTCTAGAGCTAACAATCAACGTCGAACACCTCTGGAAGAAACAACCGCCGGGGGCGTGGAAGACAGACCCCTCCTCGCAACAACACACGGAAAGAGGCAGAGAGCAAAAAAACAGCTCCCAAACGTTCTCTGTTAATCATCCTCCTTACTTCCCTCAATGTCACCGCCAATGGGGCGATGAAGCAGCAGGTGTCAGCCCTCGCAGGATTTAGTTTGGTGTGCCTGCTGAGGCCGCCTAGCAAGTTCTTCAGAGGTCGGGCAGGGGCAGATGGTGACCGTCCCACTATAGCTTATGCATTACATCTTTCGATTTCACTGACACTGCTGGGAGATTCCCGTAGATCAAAATATCTTGCTTCGGCTCAAAAAAGGGCTTACTGCTTGACTCTTACCGTATAGCTCAAATCACGTGCTTCAAAACCCGCTTGCATTATCATTATTTCACATCAAAGTTTTTAAAATAAGTAGACAGTTAGCGGCTTTTATGCGATTTAATATCTGGCCTTTTAAACTTCTAAGTACTTCCTTATATTCAATCTCCATTGTTGAAAACCTTCTCCTATTTTCTAGGTGACGACCCTGCCGCAAGTGCTGCATCTGCACGGCGGAAGCCTCGCGTGCAACGATGCCACCTGCAAGAAGCAGAACGGGAGAAAACAGGAGAAAAACATGAGATAGGTACATAGATTGAGAGATCGATGTAGGGAGTAAGCGAGCGGGAGAGAGAGAGAGAGAGAGAGAGAGCGGAGGGAGAGCAGTAGTAACCTGCTTCTGAAGCGCGAAGATGGTGGATATGCAGCCGTAGACGGGGTCTGACAGACAGGATTGCGCCTCATAGCAGATTGTGGCTACGGCCTCTCCACGGCGTGCCCAGCCGGTTGCCCAGCGGGGCGTCCTCGGGTACCTGATATTCGTTCCCCGTAACGTGTGCCCTAAGAGATAGGAGGAGCGTGAACGCTGACGGAGCTCGTGTTAGCCGATCCTTAAGAGCAAGAGCACGCTACTCTTGGATGGAGGTAGTCACATGCAAGACAAGCATGGCCTGTTTCTCAAGAGCTCTACTCCACCTCTCACTTCCACAAGTTCTATAAATACCCAGCTGATGGAAGTTGAAAAACTTCTCTAAGGGAGAGAAGTTGAGACATAAAAAGCTTTGTGAAAAGAACAAACACCTGGGTGAAATTTATGATGAAAGGCCCTCCATTATTGGAAATTTGTCATTATTTAATAATTTCTTCATAGAGTAATTGGCTTGGATAAAATTTTGTGACGATAAGGCCATCAACATTATCATCTTTTAGAAATATATTTATTTTACTAACTAAAAAATGAGCATTACTTGGTTTTCATTCATCTTATTTTTTTCTACTGTTTATGAAAATTTTCTTACCTAAAAATGCCACTTCCTTTCTTCATGCCTTTCATGTTGATCGGTAAATAATTTTTACTTGATTGATTCTTTCAATGCATGATATGGTATATACTATACAGGGAACATTTTTTTGTCCTGAAATTTATGTCAATAAGGTATCTAGTTTACAATTCCGTCATTTTTTAGTAATATATTCATCTCATTAACTAAAAAAATCAATGCTAGTTTTCATTCATCTAATATTTTTCTTTGTTTATGACTTTTGTATTAGCTAAAATGCTACTTCCTTTCCTCACAACTCTACACAACATTTATCGATCACATGGTAAATATAGCGTTCAAGAGGATGGTGAATTTAGTGAAATATGTTGAGCAGTAACAAAATTTTCTTGGTTGATTCTTTAAATGCATGTCACAGTACATACAGGGAACATTTTAACAAAATGAATTCTAGGAAACGTATTAATAAAAAATTTAAGCAATCTAATACCACAAAATCTCGAAAATTTCTTAATTAATGACATACAAAAGGGCCATTGCTATGTTAAATGATAGGATTCATGTGAGGGAGAGAGATCAGAAATAATGGAGGTGTTCCCTCCTTTAAAATTATCACTAGATGATTAATTCCCTCATTATCAGAAACATTTGCATTCCCTCGTTATATCAGAGAAAAATAATACAATATTTCTGGTATACCTGAGAAGACAAAAAAGGCATACCAGTTCTACCTCCATTCAAATATCTAAATAACATTTGGCAGGAAACAATGAATTTGAGTGTCACTGATGTTTGACTCAGAAAAATATATAAAATGCACCGTTCTATTTCATAAATTAATTATATAAAAAATCGAAGCTCGAACTACTACTACTACGACGAGAGAGAGAGAGAGGATGTATGTCGTTCAGACGCGCAAATAGATCATTTTATTATTATTCTTATGAGAAGATGACAAATCCCGACCCAAGAACGAAACTCAGGATTTGTTAAGCGCCTCAGCGACCGCTGGCTATCCATTATGTGTGCAGTGTGCTTCGCAGTCCTCCCTCCTATGGTCGCAAGGTGAATGTCCTTGGCAGCAGTAACAGTCTTGACCACCCTCGCAACGCGCCCTAAAGCACAGAGTTATGTGGATATTGCTCACTCTATCGTCTAACATCTTGCGCGGCAACAAGCTTGGCCCTTCAGCTTTGAGATCTGCTTAGAGATGGTTACAAAACAGAAAAAACACTTCACGTGATATCTTTTGATGTAAACACTTGAATATGTCTGTCAAATTCTGGCTGGTATCATACATTTATGAGATCGATCCGCGACAGTTCTGGAACAAGTTTCTGCAAATCTGCCATAACTAGGCTAAGTGGACGAATGTACCAACTAATCTTGCCAGCCTACTGGAAAATAAAGATAACGTCTGATTTCCTAATTTATGCGCGAGTGACCCCGGTCTCCTGCCTCATTCGAGTCTGAAAACGGTGATAGAGTGACACTGTAATCACTTAAGTGGTCACCCATGGTGTAACCAAATTTAATGGTCATAAATGACTATTTTGGGCTCAGGTTTATTTCACTAGAAAGTTATACCTAAATAATGTCCATGATGTAAAGAAATATGTGATATCCATGGATGCTCTCAGGTCCCTTTTGTGATCGGTAGTTGGCTTAAACGAGACTTACGTCGCGAGGCAAAAACGAGGAAAGGGCGGAGAGGTTGATGGGGCTTTCGTTGATGGTGTGGCGATCTTAATGATTTTCTCATGGTAACATCAGTACAAATGAAGGATTATGAAAATAAAAATTATTTTTTTAAGAATCAATTATTATATGGAAGTTTGCTAAATTCTCACGCCAAATGACAAATCCTTATCAAGAAACAACTGAGTACCCGTCCTGTACAAACCTTCAATTATTGAAGGAGTTGCGGAGGGGAAAGTTGGGGTGATGAAGAGAGCGGACAAGAAAGAGGGAGGGAGAACTGGGGGGATCACCAGGAGGACCATCATGACAACATCATTAATGGTATCCGATATCTGAAAATATCGGGTACAATTAAGAAATTTCGGTTAAAATTTCTAACAAAGATGCTAGCTTTCAGTCAAAGGAGAAAACAGTGAGACCATTGAAAAGGATAAACATGATAGTTTCAAAGGTTGTGACGAACCTCTGAACATCTGTTCCTTCTGCTAGCATTATATGCTAGAAAAATCTTAATTGTGATCATATTTACATTCAATAACACATCTTACCACCGGAAATCATCATTATCAGTTCAACACATCGTAACAATTTTCAAAATCATCACCGATGATGTGGAATACGAGAACTATCCGAGTTATATATTAGTAGATACCTTGCAAAATAAAAGCGAGAAGGGAAAGAAAATCAGGCGATAACTCACCCTCGCCAGAAGCCAATTGAATAAACAGCAGCAAAATAAGGATGCTGAATCCTAGCCTGTGAACTGTCTCCATGGTTCTCCAGTTCAGGCTCCACCAGCACATTCAGAACGCTATCTGCCTTTTATAAATGCTAGGTACCCTGACCATGAACCGATTCCCCTCATTAACACCAGATAAATTTTGAGGATACGGTATCCCTAAAATCGCTCCAAAATATTGATCCACGGTAAATGGCCATAAATCTTTGGTGATGCGTATCTAACCGTCATAAATGGAAAAAAACAATGGGGATTTACAGCTACCATCCATATACAACAAAAATTATCCTCGTTTGTCTCACTGAGGCCAGGTGATATACCATCGATTGGGATTCATGTGAGATCTACTACTGTTCCTATGAATCAAGGTAGTTGTTTTAGTTTTATTTCCGTCCAATTGATATACGACATGTTTCTTTCACGAATATTTAAGAAGAGATGGCAGTGTTCCTTGACAGTCGAGGATATTACTCTCTCTCTCTCTCTCTCTCTCTCTCTCTCGCTCTCAGACAAATCCACGCGCACAAACACCGCCATTTCCATCAATAACCCTTGTGCTTCTGGTCATGATGGTGACGTTTTATTCTTGAAAAGTAACAGCTTACACGAGACCTTGATCCATCTCTACCGTCAAGTCATCAGTAGAGGAATAAACAGGTAGCTATTTTGACTCGTTATCAAGGAGACTCATTTCATCACCCTAGTCACTTCCATCATCTGCGGTTCCCATTGATAATCCTTTTACAAAAATTACTCTCAATGGAAATCTACAAGTTTTATGTCTTCGTAGCATTTTTTTAGAGAAAGGCAAGGTTATTAGGATTGTGTGATGTAATGTTTTCAATATTTTTACCTTCTTAGGCTATTAATACTATAGGACCGTATTATGAGTGCTCTGCAAGAAGGGAAAGTTACATATTGGGCCGCCAACTAATCTCCTCTAGCTTGATGAGTCAAGATCAGCTTTAGGATAAAAAGTAATCACTATAGAAAATAAAGGGACAGATGTTCTTAAAATTTTGGCCCATTGCTTCCTTTGCAATTAATCCTCAGGCGCAATTTTGAGGAAGCTTCTTAAAAATTTATGTAGTGAATTATAAAAATTAATTCTTAGATTAGGTGGTTTTTCAGGAATTTTTAGGCTTTAACATTCACAAAAGTCCTATTCACCCTAGTAGCCAAATGCATGGTCTCAACAACTAGTCATAGTTACCATAAAAGTTTATTTTTCCTGTCTTTAATTGTAGTGCTACCAATTCTCACAAGATTAGATTTTTTTTCTATAGATGGTTAACACAAATCTGGCAAGTAATAACATGGAAAACAAGTGTAACTACTAAATGTAGCATGTCAACTCACTTCATTGAATGCTGATAATATCAAGCCATTTTCATTCAAAGTAATTCTGACTACACAAGCAAATTTAACAATTACTTAAATGATTATAAATTTAAAAAACTGATGATCTTGATGATTTTGGGCAAATAATGACTTAAGTCAACATTTCCACCAACTTATTGAAAGTAATATTTCTGAAAATAAATAATTTTATAATAAATCAATCGTTAGGACCTATTTGAAAACTCTTTGAATGACTTTTTACTGGAGTGTATGATATTGATTGTAATTGCTTGAACACGAGATTTTTAAATTTCTCGTTTAATCTTTTTATATGCCAATATTTGTTTCAACTTTTTAGGATCTTATATCGTGTCAGCTCATTTTACAATGCCATGTCAGCTATATTTTTTGTCCCTAAAGATTTGATCAACACATTTCTCTGTCCTCGTCTTTTTATTGAAACCTTGGGAATCAACACTCTTTCTATCTCCTTTATTTTCCTATAAATATTTGCTTTTGTTTGGATGTGACCATTTTCTATTCTTTTCACTATATAGGGCCTAAAAAGAAGAATTCGACAACCAGTTGATTAGATATAAACATCTATTTCTCTGCCCAAACATTAGTGTAAGAATAACGTGTGTGGAAAAATTTCCATTTATTTTTTATGATTATTTATCTACATCAAATCTTGAGAATACGAGTGATTTAGCTGATCTGATCGAAAGTGAGAACAATGAAATGCCGATTATTACGGATATATCGATGGTACTAGTCTTACAAAACATCATAAAACTAGAAAAAAGGGGACGTGCTGAAAAATACCGATGATACACCCAAAGAGAAACATAGAGAGGGAGAATAACGCATATAAAGGCATGGGAGAGACATAGAAGCATTGCTAGAAGCTATAGAATAAACAAAAAGAAAACACACACGCACAGGTGCGAAGAGAAGAAATCACAAGAAAGCAGTAAAGCACGAAATTAAAGGTGTAGAATCCACATCAACAAGAGATATCACATGCTTTTTATAGGGTGTAAGTTGCATGTCATGTAGCACCTCACTTCAAAAAACCGCTGCGGGTCTCGTTTAGAATAGAACGGGCAGCGGCAGCGCTCGTTGCAGCGGTGCCTCCCGTAGTTCTTCTTGCCGCAGGGTTTCTCGCACAGTAACACCTCCTTGCCCGAGGTCCTGAAGCACTGGGCATCTAGCGCAGTTGGGGGTCTCAGTCGCCAGAGAACTGGCCGGCGGCGGGGGAGCACAACTTCCATGGCATGAATTCCTGTGCCCAGAGATGTAGAAGTAGCTTGTGAGGACTGATTTGATTGCCTGAGGTGAAGCATATATGCTAACTCACAACTTTCTCCTAATTTTCTAAATTTTGACTGGTCAGAAAGTAATCTCCTAACATCTTGGATTCTTCATCACTCCTAAGTGAATCTCTATGGTGAGCAGACCTTGAAAAACTCAAGGCATTTAAAAATATTTACAAATTGATGATTTGGATGAACTACGCCAGTATAGATAAGAAATGGGTTTTACTTGATGCTACTAATTTGTGGGAGTCTCCAAGTCCATATGATTCTGTCTCATGTTGACCTCTCAGATCATGGAAGAACTCCACTCAATATTTCCGAAGAGTTTGTATTACTATCTGCATCATCTTGAAGGGTAGATGAATGTGATTAAAGAGATGAAGCTTGAGTCAACTGGCCCCGGGGACAAGAGAGCAGCATTTGTTGATATAAAGAGAATTATGGGGGCGAGGCGAGACTTTCGCGGGCTGACCAAAACCTGAGTTGGACGCGGTGGCCTTCTGGGACAATACGGCATCACTCTGTTGTTATTTTTTGTCATCCGCTTCATCTCCGAGAAGGGCGTCGGCTGCCGCTGCCGCAGCTCCGAAGCGCTGCTCTGCGACTTCATCTGCCCGTCCAACTCTGCCGGAGAAATGTCTGGAATCGGCTCCTCACTGCAGTGCACACACCGCTCTCTCTTCCTGTTCTCAGCGATCGTTCTCCTCGTCGGGCTGTGCTCCGCTGCTGAGGAAGGCGCCGCGGTCTGTCGTTTCTCCGTAGACCCTCACGCAGATCACCACCATCATGACCACGAGCATGACCGTAGTCATCACCATGATGGTCACAACCACGGCTGTCAGAGCGATCGCGGAGGCGCCGCCCGCTGTGGCCATGACGGTCCTCAACCCCGAGTCCGGATGCTTCCAGAGGAGCTGGCGGAAGAGGAGGATCTAAATCTGGAAGGGTGTGCGAACATGGGTTCTTTGCATCACCACCACAATCATCACCATCACAACCATCATCATCACGAAGCTTCGAAGTTGTCTGCCCTAGGTAACGCGTGGATAAAGACACCCCGTTGTCTTTGCTCGAGAAATTTCACGGTTTCTGACTGGGATTTACAATTGGGATATTTTGAAGGTCTCTGGGTACAAGCGATGGGCTGTTCGCTGCTCGTGAGCATGGCATCACTGGTCTGCCTCATTCTTCTTCCTCTATTCTTTTGTGAGCATTCCAATCGTTCCCACTTCTCAACTGTTCCTTCCCTTCCCGCAACCAATAGCCAAAGAGGCTCATAACATCCACTGTAATCGGAGGCGTTATTATCGATACTTTGGCAATGAAAAAATTATTGTTTTCCTCGCAGTTAAGGGGAGACCATCCAAGCTATTGGTGGATTCACTGGCTGTATTTGGGGTTAGTCTATTGCAAGCTCTTTGCTAGATATCTTTTGTTTTTTGGGCTTCACCTCGAGTCCCCATTGTATACCTTTCGGCGTTGCTATCATGCTGCTCGGTTTTCAGTGTGAAGTTATTTAACCTGCAATATTTCTTTGTATTAAAGCTATGAAGCTGGAAGAATCCGGATGACAGATATTTCCAAGAGCATCATCAGTGTGTAGATACGTGTTTCAATCACGTTAATTTTTATGTAGCTTAGATTTCTAAATCAGGCAACAATACATCAGGGGTTTGGAAGGAATAAGATGAATACAAAAAATTATCTTGGAATGAAAGGAATAACATTGCAAAATTTGGGTGGGTACGCTGCACCGAAACAAACAAGGTAACAAATTATACCAGGAGGGACCCGTCTTATATCAGGTTGGGAACTTGCTTAACGCAGATTAGCTTCAGTCTGGTTCAGTTTATGAGACCAAACCCGACCCTAGTTGATCTGAAATATTGTTTACACTAATTCATAATGTCAAATTTATTGATTGCACCGTATATATTTCTTTAATCATTGAGGGGTCAAATTAATTGATTTGAATTTCCAATCCAAGTCTGGTGCTGAGTGTCAAAGAACTACGATTCTTGATTTATGATGTGTTTTAATTTTTTTTTCTTTCTTTTTTAAAATATTATTCCAGTGAATCTTCATTATCTCAACTTATTTTTATGACTTATTTCATCATCTACTAGTTTAGAAGTGCTATTTTCCTTGAATTCTTGATTGTAGACTTTATATACTTCATTGATGCCATCATCTTGAATGCCTTCTAACAGAATTTAGCATGGTTTCTAACCACCTCAGGTCCCTAATTTGGATGTCAAATGTAAAAGATGTTTACAAACCTTTCAGAATTTCTATTAATGGATATTAAAATAATTGACTATTATGAATGAAAATTTCCATGCTTTTAATCTGTCATTTCTTCTAGTAATTTCTGTTCCTTTCTTTCACGGCTGATGCTAGGCACAGCTCACGAGTAAGCACAAAAAAATGGTGCTTCTTTAGCACAATGGCTTAGACTTAAAGATGCTAATTTGCCTAGCCTGCCTTAGATGGATATATACTTTTTCCTAGCATGTAATAATACCTGTTAATGTAGATATTGATTCCTTCCCTTAGGTCGAGGCTGTTGCATTAACAGCTGTGGTTCCCATTAATGTGGGAAGGCAGATAGTTGAGAGTTTTGAGTTTACCAAAACCTATTACTAACCCTTAAAGATTTGTTTTTTCTTTATTCTTACATATCAGTCATTTCTGGGAAAAATGTGCTGCATCATGCCGACACGACTTATTTGAAGTTGAAAAAGTAAATATTTCATTGGGTTTCAAGATTTTGTTAAATTTGAAGATTTTAAGATCCACTTGGGTGAAAACAGGTGATATTTTAGTAGGTAAATTAATGCCTCAGATAGCAAACGAATGCAAAGTTGTGACTGTAAGCAAAGTTGTCACTTCCTGGTTAGTTTTACTATTGGTTCTCAAGCAATGCCAACTCTATGGAAAGGTTTTATCTAATATCACGCTTTCTTGTATTGTGTTCCTACGAACTTTTACTCATTTAAATAGTAGGCAAGATATCATTGAATTCTAATGCAACGCCAGATTTTTAGAAAGTTTTCATCTAATTCTCTCACCAGTCACAAGTTACCAGATGAACTTGTATTTGGTTGCTTGGAACTTTAACTCATTTAAAAGTCAACAACGTTATATGTTTAGATAGTGAAAAAGAAAACGGTTTTCTTTCATTTGCGTGTGTTAAGTTTTTTTGGCAGTCATGAGTTATTTTTTCAATGCCTAAGGAGAAAAAGTATGTCTTTTTTCCTGTATAATGATACCCTTTTAATCGTACTCTTTTGAAAATTTGAGTGCCATCCATAGTTGTTGTGTTGTTAAGATTATAGTGTTTTCCTTGCTGAATAGAGTATAAAATTTTTGTCTTCTCCAAAGTTGCTTTCATAATAAACCGGGGTAAAAGGAGCAAACTTCTTTTTTCACGTTAAAATCTTTGACACTGATTTCCTTGTACAGGCAGGGGCAATGTTGGGGGATGCTTTTCTTCACCAGTTACCTCATGCCTTTGGTAAGATTCATTCTTCATGATTATTTTACTCTGGTCTTCGTTTTTACATTCATACTCAAGCTTACTGGGGTTAAATTTGACTTCTTATTTGACTTGAATGCTGAAAATTACTATTTCAACTTCAATTCTTGTGATTGGTAAGTCTGAGGACTTTAATGCATTATGATTTGAATTGTTCCCCTGCAGGGATAATATAAACTACAACAATTATGATTTGAGCTATCAAATTACGCCTTTGAACCATGGATTCAATACATATGACTCGACTATTGGATTACCTCATAGGACTACAGAGAGACTAAGAATCATGTTGTGGAGGCAGTGTATCATCAAAATGGGCACTTGATGAGAAATATAGATTATAGAATGTCTTATTTGTGTAGAGACAAGTAGAGGACGTTATCTATTGAAAATTAATTAATTGCTTAAACTGGAACATCCGACGGTGTATCATCTCACAGGGTTTTCTTTTACAGAATTCTCATTATATTCATCGAAAGTATGACTAGATGGACGATTGAGTGGCTCCCGTCTGTTAATTGTTTTTGGCTTGCCACTTGACTGTAGATTGCCAATGCATAAAGTCCAATGGATTTGTAGAAGAGTTGGATTAATGAAATGGTAGGGTATTGCATTTGGTAGAGGGCTACATTCATCGACGTAGTATTGGGAGCAATGCAAAAATCTACTTTGGTTTTGCATCATTCTTCTTTCATTATTCTTCCGACTGAATGAAATAGGCGCAGTTGATCTTGGTGTAGAGGCATCATTGACTGAAAAGATGTGGATATGATGGAATGGTAGCAGAAACATCGATGGATATTTGTGAACAGTTACAGATCTATGAGGCAAGGGTTGGAAAATGGATACAGAGGTCGAAACAGTTGTTATGCATATTTATGAGAGAGCATTTATCTTACCAATGATTTAAAAAATGTAATCTCTTCCCATATGTAATTCATGGAATCTCTTTTCTCCAGTAAACGGTTTTTGAAGCTTCTGTTCACTGCTTGGAGATTGTACATTTGCATTTATGAGATGATAGCGGAAGAATCTAGGTTTGATGCGAAAACCTGTAGAAAATAACAGATTAGTTCTTTAAGCTATTTCTTTTAATAAAGGTCAAGCAAGTAAAACTTAGCTCGTAAATTAGGAAAGCCAAATGAGCTTTGGGATGTCTGAAACTGTGTGATGTGATGGTCTCAGCCTGAGTTCTTTCCGCACGTGACATAGTGCATTTCGAGAGTATAAATCTGCAAACAACCTAGTTTAGTCACGTGCGTGTCAACATTAGTTTCTGTAGTGTGAGCACTAATGTAGACCTTAAAGAATCGCTGTGTTTTGAGCAGAGAGTCTCAATATCTCTTGATAAGTTTAGTTATCATGTTGCATGTGACTTCCATGTCAGGTGCTCACACTCATCTTCATTATCTGTACTTATGTTCTTGCACGTGACTTAGACTAAGCTCATGGGAGCATGCTTTTTTTAATAGCTAACATAATGCCGACTCCAGTTTTGATTCTGTGGGTACTGTTAAGGCAGAGTCTGATCTATTGGAATATGGTTTCCAATGCTAAGAATCATTATCTCCTTTGGCTTCTGGTGGCAGTTGATTTCCTCTTCAATTTAACGTTTAAAGGGGGGACATCTGTTGTAGAATAAGCTTATGGGAAATGTGCAACCCCTTGCTCGTTGGGTACCTTTTGTACCACCCGGAAAACCATCGTTTATCCCTGGGTAGCGCAGAATTCGCTTAGTTTCAGAATCTTTTATGAAGACGTTTTTCACTCTTTGTTACTTTTTGTGTGGTAAAAGTGATGTCAAGATAATTTCCTTTTCATGTTGATCTTGATACATATACACCGAGTAAACAATTCTCTTGGACATGTTTTCACACATTCTTTTCAGTTCTCTCAGTGTTATTTGTTTTCGATGTCTCCTTTTGCTTATGCTTTAATCTGTTACATTTTTGAGGAAATGTTTCTATTTAAGGTGGCGAAGACTCACATGGGCATGATCATCACGAGGACTATTCTCATAATAATTCTCATAGAGTGGAAGGTTCTCATTCTCATTCTCTGAAAGATCTTTCTGTTGGACTGTCAGTTCTTGGTAAGATAATTTCCTCCTCATACGAAAAGTATGGTGTGAATATATGGCCAAAAGCCAAACTTTCATCGTATTTCATTGTTATCTTTCTTTTGTGGGTGTCTTCCAGGAGACATTTTCGGCATCTTCTATTGGAAATATTTACTGAACTGTAGATGCAAAGAGAGTGTAGAAATAAATAGTACTATTTTTATAAGTTCCACATCGGTTCCATTCCACTTTCCTTCTCTGTCAATCCAATGCTCATCTTTAAAGATGTAGCATTTACTCCTGGGGCAACTTCCAGCTTTTGTTGAAATGAAACTTCCTGTCAACATTAGTTTCTGTCATTTAAATTTAATTACGTTAAAATTAGATATATTTCATTGCCTAATTTCCAGTTTAACGTGAGAAGTGTGCTAAATCAGGTTTATCTTCATGCAGTTTAAATTTGAATATATTGCTTTATGTATCGTCTAGTAATAGTCTCGGATTTAACATAAGCTAAATTTAAAATTTGCTGATAAATTGGAAGGAAAAGAACTATATCGTGCATAAAGTTTTTTATTCAATGCATGCAAGCTAATACTGACAGTAGTTGTCAAGTGTGATCTGAAACGCAATACTATTATCTCTGGTAGCATAATAAATGATTTTTGAATCTAAGTAATAAAAATAATATCCATTTTTAATAATGAAAATGATAGCAGACGATTGATATTATGTGCCTTTACATCGATGTTGGGTTTTTTCTGTCAATGAAATTCATGGGTAGTAGTATGCTATTTTCAATAGCCTGCTGAGTGAGAGCATGACTTATTGCCATATAACAGCTTTCTTGTGCCATATGTACTACTTGACTTGATCCTTCCCAACTCATCTTGAACTAGTTGGTCTGTTTCAAGGAAAAATGGTATTTTGGATATCTTACACCCTCAATTCAACTTTAGGTTACGTTAGACTTGGGTTGGTCCACAGTGTCAAGTGCTGGCTTAGGAGGAACCCAACTTGATCCAATCAAATAAGAAAAGTTGAAAAACGAAGACCGAGAGAATCAATACCACATCAAAGCAGATTGCATGTAAGGCTAACCACGAATCTCCCGCAGCTATGACAATTTCCATCCTCTTTGACGTGAAAAAGAAATATGCAATAATTTTCCTAATCCTTTTTTGGATGCCATTAATGGTCATGTTTTCAATGATTGGGCTTAATTATTTAAATTGGCTAATTGGCCTTTTCAGCTGGTATTCTTCTTTTTTTACTTGTTGAGAAGATGGTGAGATACATTGAACATATGTCTGGAGAGGATGGACATGTGTGGCGCCATGCGCACCATCACCATCGCCACCACGACCAGAGCAGTAATAAGAAGCATGATGACATTACTAGCAGTCTTCAGAAGTCAGGTCTACGTGACAAAGAAAATAAAACATCAAAAAGAAAACTGTCAAGTACTTCTCAAGATTCCTCTTTAAATAAGGTATTAATGGACATGTGTCAGAAAACTTGTTTTATTTAGTGTTTGATGTGATATCTGTCGTTTCTTGTATCTCTAAATTTTGACATCTGAAATGTTATCATCAACCAATGAATGGGTGCCATTCTCGTTCTTTCATTTCTTTGCCAACTACACAAAGTGCTTTTTCTTTTTTTGCATTTGATGACGTTCAGATTATACACTTACTGCAGTTGGATGTTGCCCAGATTGTAGTTAATAGTGTTTTTTCCTGAATTCGGCTTACTATTGTCTTCGAAGTGATGTAAATTCTTGGTTTCTTGCTTCCTTGATTTCCATGGCGTCTGTGTTTCTGTTTTGTCCATCGCTAGATTTATTACCATTTGCACTTCCAAGCATGTCACCAGTGACGAAGTAATGCTTCATTAAATTGCATGCCAGATTTTTTGTCCGAAAATTAGGGGCGTAGGAGTGGAAAAAAATTGGTTTTGGTTCTTTAGTTTCTTCGTTCAGGACTTTTCTGTTCAATCTGGCCGGGTACTATGAATACTCTGCCAATGAAATAGTATTATTTCGAGGACTATGATAAATTTGAAAGAGGCTTATGGTGTTTACCTATTAGGATTGGTAACATCACGCCGTTTTCTTCTGTCTGAGCCAAGTTTTAAAACCTGGTACATTATTGAAGTCATTTGAAGGGCCGTGGTTGATATAGGTTCTGTTAACTGTGTTATCAGATCCAGATGCATTCGATATAGGTCCTTAAATAAGTTGTTGCCTGTTCGCATGGACTGTTACTAGTTTGATAGGTATCAAACTAGTAATAGTCCAATAAGAGTCAGTATACTGGTCCCATCAACAACATCTTGTTGGAAAGGAATGAATATTGCAGTGTAAAAGAATACTTCTAATCAGTCCCTTTCTATACGTCTGGTTTCACTTATTTTTTCCTGAACAAAATTGTTTGACATTTGTTTTGTCAAGGATCTTAGTTGGACTCTGTTTTTCACGCATTCATTAACCTTTGCAAAATGGAAGACAAATAGACACCTCTCTTGATTGACCAGAATTAGAGTCCTGCATTCTTTCATGAAATTCTCATTTACTTCCACCTTTCTTTTGACAGACTGAAGTTAGGTTATTTAAATCCATTCTAGTCTTTTTTGGCCATGGGCTTGTGAAATGTCTACATTCAGTGACTAGAATGTGCACTGACGGCCTTCTGTCTATATGGCAGGCACAGGGAGTTATCTCTGGTGGTGATTCTAATGTCAGAAAAGATCTGACTGCTACAGACAGCTTGGTTAAGGAAAAAGGACCTTCAAGTGAGATGCTCCCTAGTTCAAAGTCAAGCTTAGTATTTGGTTACCTCAATCTCTTCTCTGATGGTGTTGTAAGACTGTTTTCCATGTTGTAATTCTCTAAGATTTATTTGCTTGATTTTTCTCGAATACTTTTTTTTTCAGTGTTGGTTTACAATTATGTGAAATAAGATCCACTCTACCTGATTTACGCAGCACAACTTCACTGATGGAATGGCTCTAGGAAGTGCCTTTTTACTTCACGGTTCTGTTGGAGGATGGTCCACCACATTATTCCTGCTTGCACATGAACTTCCCCAAGAGGTCTGTTTGCCTATCTTCATCTTTTCTTCTCTCCCTTTGACTTTCAACAATGAGAGATGTCTTATGGCCTGAAGAGCTCATCATCATTATTTTCATTAGCAGACTCGGCACACTTTCATGATTCTAGCAAAATTATACATACTACATCTTCAGGCCTTCTGAGCAGAGCTGTACAGAAGTGCCTTAGGATTATATTCCCTTCTTAACGTCTAAATGCTTTCAGGTTGGTGATTTTGGTATCCTGGTGCGCTCAGGGTTCAGTGTCTCAAAAGCTCTCTTCTTCAATTTTCTCTCTGCATTAGTTGCGTTGGCAGGAACTGCACTGGTACGTGAGATGAGGATTCGCTCCTTCTCTCCCTTTGCTGTGATTTTTCGGCATTAAAATTTACCAGACGGTAAAAGGATGCTAAAGGAGAGAACAACATATGAATTCCCGTTTTAACCAAATAAATGAACGGTGCACCTCAGACTGTTCTTGTTTGATCGTAGGCTTTACTTCTGGGGAAAGATCCAGGGCATTCCTCTCTGATTGAGGTGAAAATTTGTCTTCTCAGGTTTACAAAGATTCACACGTTTAACAACATCAGCCTTCACTGACACGCGAATCTGTGCAGGGATTTACAGCTGGCGGCTTCATTTACATTGCAGTTGCAGGGGTCCTTCCAGAGATGAACAATGGGAACTCAACCATAAAGGGTAGTGCTCTTCAGATAACCTCATTCATCTTGGGGATGGCCGTGGCCCTCTGCATTTCTCTTATTGAGTAAGTGGGATGCCAATTCCATCTATATGAGCTAAATGATGGTATCTTGATGAGAGACGGCTTCAAATTATTCATTCTTATTTGATGAGAAATGTCACTTTTTATCGTATGTGATATGGCAAGCAACTTTAAGAAGAATATTTTTTTTTCTTTCATCTCTAGTATTTTGTTGAGGGTATAAATGGAGGCTTCATGTAATCTGTGCCTTTAGACAGTCGATGTTTGTCTTAAGATATTGCATGAAATCATTCAATGTAAAGTTCTCCCTCATATTTCGTATAGTACAAATACGTCTATTTAAATATTATACTGAGTTTTTGACGGTTTAGCATCGGTAATCTCATTTAAAATAAATAACATCCAAAGACGTCTGTTCTTTTTAGATGTAAGAAACTTGTGAAAATGCACACTTTGTAACCTATGAAAAATATTTGATTACAACCAGTAGTCAAACACTAGGTGCTTACTAAAACTCAAGGATGGGATGTCTTTGGAAAGTGGAGTGTTGAGTTTAGGACCATACTTATATTGAGAAGGGGGGTTTAATTGATCTATTTCTAATCTGTATTTCAGATTAGCTCGCTTGGAATGAGTCAAATTATTCTTCAAAATCTAAGGTCAAATTGTTTCCCCAAGATAAAAGGTGTAAAATTAAGTGATTTTTAAAGTGATTTTGTCCAATATCTATGTCCATTCTTTAATGGTATACGTTCTTTCTTAGATTTTACTAAGATTGATTCTTCGATTATAACCACTAGTTATTGGGATCAAGTTTCACGGAATGTTTCCCAAAAATTAATTTCTAGATTCACAGAACTAAGTTGCTAATGGTTAATTTAGCATTTAGCTCTCTGTAGTGATTAAACCAAGGTTTAATCAGAAGTTCATTGAACAAATATGAAATGTTCCACCATAGGTTGATTTCTAAAAATAATGTTGACTGGAGTTTGTTTGGAGCCCTGATGAAGAAGATGAGGTTGGTGGTTTGGTTTTTGTGCTTCTCTTCTTCGATATGTTGGCTGATGAGGAAGGCTTTGCAGCCTCTCAATTCAATACCTTCAGGTGGTTTTACTTGCCAATAAGGACATCTTGATTTTTCACTTGACTTGTGGAAAAACTCAATATGTAGCTTGAGGTCAAAGGAAGCAAGGATGGTCATTCTCCACCCATTAGACATTGGAAAGATATGGTATTTATAGGTAAATCACATATGTAACTCTTTTTTGTATTTTTGTGATCTTCTGATATATTGTTTCCATAAGATAAATATAAGTTCATATTGTTGGGAGACTAATATGATATATCTTTAAGGGTTCATGTATTTGCATGACAAATTAATACATGATTTTGTGAAAACTCAGTGCCTATATCCAGAAATGTATTGATTGGTCAACTCTAAGAACGATTTTATATCTTTAAAAAAAAAACTGATAATATCTGTCTAGATAAAAATGAGATTTAACAATTAAAACTTATCTAAATCAGCCCAAAAAATCAGATGGTCAGGTGGACATGTTCAATGACTATCTTAATATTTATAATTATAGTTTTAGTGATTTAGAATATTTACCATTTTTTGTAATATATATATATATATTTATGTTAAGAAAAATATGTGTAGTGGAATGAGCAATTTGAATTTAATTAATTAAGTTAATATTCAAAATTTTCTAAACTAACAATGTCATAGGTATATGATAAATTGAGTAAGTTTTCATAATCATATTTTTCTTCATGAAATCTTATCGATTTCAGTGCCTTAATCACTATATTTTATTGTGGTAGATTTTTTAAATATTAGTAATTTGTACAGTTATATATATAATAATAATTAAACATAATAAAATTAATTAAATAAGTAAATTCAACATCATGGGTCAAAATATACTCAATAACCTCTCATTTGAATAATTAAAAGTATTATTTTGGGTTATACTTGAATATTTTCATATTTAGCCTTATATGAAACATTGTAAAAATTAGACATAATTTGATCTTTTGATTAATCTTATGTATTTTGGTCATTGTCAGAATTATATATTTAATGCTCCAACATATGTATTTTTTTTAATAATAAGAAAAGCTTAATGCTTCCCTTGATCCTTTAGTTCAATTAATACTCTAGACTTGGTTTCTTATTTTATTAATTATTGAACTAACAAAGTTAAGGGCTGACACCAAAAAGGCTTTGACCAGCAAAAAAATTTGGTCCAAGAGGAATCAATTCAAGCCCAGTTGGATGATAAATCAAAGGGAGAATTGGTCCAAGTCTAAGCCCAAGATTTTAAAGAAAAGGCCCAAGTTAAAGGCCAAGCTTACAAGGAGGCGGCCCACTTAAAGGGGAGGGCCTCCAAGCCCACATCTTTTCTCCCTCATCCCACTCTCCTATTAAGGCACCCTTTGAAGAGGTCCTCTAACTACCTCTAATTGATATCCAAAAGCACCCTTGAAGAAGAGAAAAGTTAAATGGTTGAGTGTTGACCAGGAGACTACTTCATGGCAATCTTTGGGGAAGTCAACACCCCTTAGGTTGTCAACAAATAAGTGCCTAAGTCCTAACTTCTATTTTTAATAATTTTTTGCACCTTGTAACTACCTCAAAATCATGCTGGTTTGATTTTGAATTAGATATTTTCAGCAAATTAAAGTGTGGAAGCATCGTTACACTCAAGGTATATGTTGACTTTCTATTTTCAATTATATCTTATTCAATTTTCAATCTACTTGCTACTGCCACTTGAGTGAGTAAATGATACTAGTAAATTTCATATTTGGTGATCCAATAAACCCTGGTTGAGATTAGATCCAAAAGTGTTAAATCAACACATCCATATTTCAATAGATGATAAGATCCAATTATCAAGTTGTGAGATTAACTTGATATTAAGATGAATCTCCCCATTGGCTCTCATCCTAAGAGTGAGTTCTCTTAGATCATTGAATAAATTCCCCTTAAATAGATATTAATTTATATCTTTATCATGTCTTACATCAGTTTGACATCTGAAATACACATTAAAAACTAGTTATTTTTCACAATGCACATCTATGAGACTTAAACGTTCAAATCTTTAAATATCCTTTTTCTCGTGGCTATTTATATTGAAATTTTCACTCATTTCCTAACTTGATGAAGAATAGTTGAATTCTCACTCAAATCTAAATCATCAAGTTTTCCTTCACCTTTTCTCCATCTAAGCAATTGGCATGTAACTATCAAGATGTCTTCTTCAAGGCTCAATTATCTTGTTCCTTTTCTCTTTTTCTTCATGAATTGGTGCATGATATCTTAAGAGACCTTTCTAACATCATTTGAAAATGTAAACACTGAAAATATGTTTAAAATAATGATAGATTCAATCATAAGATATTTTACAAAACTTACTTTGACTTGTATCCATTTAACCTTGTACTTATCCTTTCAACTAAATATGGTCCTTCAGCTGATAATCTTTAATCTTTGAATAATATTAAGATTGAGAATCACTTAATTAACACCTTATATTTAATCATCAGTAATCATATCATTAAATCAATTAATAAAGAACATTTATGTCATAACTATGTAGAACGTATTAAAAAATTGATATAAATTTGTGATATACAAAAAGAATGATCTTATATTGAATAATCTCTTATAAAAAAATCACTTTTAATTACCAAAACCAAAACAAAGAAGAAATTAACCTAGAAGTAAGAAGAAAAAGAGATGTACCTTGAAGCATGAATTGGTTGAGTCAATATAGTAGTGTGGCTTGCAAGTTCATGTGATGGGATATTTATAGAGCCCATTACTTTGATCATTGGAGTTCAAAGAAGTGAGGTTATTGAGTTTAGCTTAGGTAAACTCACTTCTCAATATGCATTGTTATTGTACTTGGTCTGGAGTTTTAGAAGATTTTATTATTTGACTATTTTATTTTATGATACTTTGATTCTCTATGTTTTAAGTTTCTTTGCAAATGCTCATATATTTCAATACTTGTCAGTAAAGTTTTATTGTGCACAATATCTGATTTCAAAGGAAAATCTTACCTTTTCTCTCATGTTATGCACACAAGTTGCCAAGCTGACTTATAGTTGACTCAAGTAGTCCTCTATACTTTTCTCTCTAAGGGCCTTGATTTTGTTCTTAAATCATTTCTTCATTTGGACTTCTTCTTTAATGATACCTTTTATAGATGAATACCTAAAAATTACAAGCAAACAGAAAATAGACAATCTAATAGTTTAAATTTTCATCCAAATATTAATATAAAAAATCAATTTATGATAAAAAGTTATGTATATTTTTTATTATAAAAATATTAAATAACTATAGGAAAAAGAGATGTGGCACCTATACTTGCTTGGTTGGTGTTTTGTGGTTTACATGGATAATGTAGAGACCAACTCATTAAAGACTCAATGAAACCTTCTAGAAGCAAGTATGATTGCTAGAATTCTTAGTGTAGTATTACTTCGGTTTGAGGTACAAACCTAGGTGTGCAAATGTATGGGTAGATGTCCACAGACACAAAGAACTAGAAGCATCCATAGCTCAACATGCATTAGGATGTGGAAGCTTACAAATTATTCTATTTGGCTTACAAGTATGACAAGAGAGAATGTGCCAATGCAATAGACACCTTATAGCTAGTTTCTTTCTCAAGCTGAGTATGATAGTGCATCTACAACAGACTTCATTGTTTCAATCCCAAAAGGTTGTTGGCAGGATGTACTTTTTTATCATTGTCAAACACTTGTTCAAATATGTAATGTTTGTACTTGATAGTAGCTCAAAAGAAGAAGTTGCATGAACTCTTCGTGTGCACTTGTTACCATAGAACATGTCTACCAACCAAGATACATGAGCACCTAGCTAGAATTATCTATTTATAAATATAGGACTGCATGGTGATGGCACATCACTAGTATGATCAAGCATAGTGCAGACAACACAACTTGATGATGTGCACAACAGTGCATGGCATTATGTGGCATTAGGGGTACTATGTAAAGAGG